ACTTACAATGGCTGCCGTGTGTCCGTTAAGTCCATGAGACCGTAGGGTGTCCCATTTGTCATTTTAGCTTTCAGAAGGTGCTCGCGAGCGCCCCCTTTGTGGCCGTTATGCGCCCTCGATCCACACTTCTTCCAAGCCCGCACTGGGGCGAGCTCTGCAGCAGACTTCTACCCGACAGTCAAAGCGGCATTACGACACGAAAGTGCGGACTCAGAGGAAGACCGCGAGGGTTTAGGGCGCCATTTGGGACAGGGCCTATGATTTCGGACACCAATTAAAATGGCTGTCCCCCTTAAATAGTGCCCTATTTAAGGGTATAGGGGGCTATTTCGGACCAAGCCTCTGAGAATGTTAACCCTGAAATGAGGGAAACTCCGGGTTTTCTGTTTTAGAATGGGAGGTTTGTCAAACCCGAGAAAGCAGAGTAGGTCAAGCCCGTTTCTGAGAGACCGGTAACTTATACTAAGAGTCAGTTACCATGGTAACTTACTCAATGAACCTAACCTGGTCGGGAGCAGGGGGGTATTCCAAAAAGCAGGTTATGTGACATACCGAGGTATGTTTGAGGATAAGCAAGCGGATAACCTCAACTTTCGGTTCCAAAATGGGAGGTAACTTTCAGGGTATGTTAAGTAACCATAGCAACTTGCTCTCTGAAGATAACCTGCTCCGGAGCAGGTTATGTTCCAGGGTTAGTTCACTTCAGCGCTATCAGCGCATGCATGATCAGCACATGATCTACTGACGAGCCTTCAGTGGGCGTGACAGATAGCGCACAATATTATATATTAGTACAATACAGTTATGTATATAGCCCACTATATATATATATATATATAACTGTATTGTATCTAACTAATATGGTTATATTTTATTGGCATATCAGTTATCTGTATAAATTATAAAACACTATTATGACTAATTAATGTTTAATTTACTATATTATATATATTTATTACATTTTATATTATCATCTCACACATGGATCGGCATTTTCTATAATGTATTTCTATAATAAAAATACATATCTGAAATGACTTAATATATAATTAGCATCAAACAAACAATATAATTCTTCTTCTCAAGGATTAAAGAGTAAACGGAAAAAAATTGATCAGCACATGATCTACTGACGAGCCTTCAGTGGGCGTGACAGATAGCGCACAATATTATATATTAGTACAATACAGTTATGTATATAGCCCACTATATATATATATATATATAACTGTATTGTATCTAACTAATATGGTTATATTTTATTGGCATATCAGTTATCTGTATAAATTATAAAACACTATTATGACAAGGTAATGTTTAATTTACTATATTATATATATTTATTACATTTTATATTATCATCTCACACATGGATCAGCATTTTCTATAATGTCTAAATTTGAAATCAAAATACATATCTGATATGACTTAATTATATATTAAGTCATATCTGATATGACTTAATATATAATTAGCATCAAACAAACAATATAATTCTTATTCTCAAGGATTAAAGAGTAAACGGAAAAAAAGAAAAATGATTGCACAACCATCAATTAGGTGGCGATATGTAAACGGAAAAAAATTAAAATTATTGCACAACCATCAATTAGGTGGCGATATGCACTAAGCATGTAAATGACCGTTGAACAAAAAAAGAAGAAAGAAACTGCATGGCGCGCTTTTTCTTAGCGTCCGTTTCCATAGCGACTCGTCGATTCGTCGCTCTGTTGAGAATGTCTTGAGTATTAATCAGGAACATACTCTGTGTTGAATGAACTTACTCCCGGACGCGTTTTTGGAACCACATACCTCGAGTAAGCAAGGTTTGGGGTTAATCAACCGAGAGTTCGGGGTTTAACAGATGGTAAGTTAACTGTGCTTTCTGGAATACAGAAGATAACCTGCTCCGGAGCAGGTTATGTTCCAGGGTTAGTTCACTTCAGCGCTATCAGCGCATGCATGATCAGCACATGATCTACTGACGAGCCTTCAGTGGGCATGACAGATAGCGCACAATATTATATATTAGTACAATACAGTTATGTATATAGCCCACTATATATATATATATATATAACTGTATTGTATCTAACTAATATGGTTATATTTTATTGGCATATCAGTTATCTGTATAAATTATAAAACATGTGTTTGACAAGGTAATGTTTAATTTACTATATTATATATATTTATTACATTTTATATTATCATCTCACACATGGATCGGCATTCGGGGTTTAACAGATGGTAAGTTAACTGTGCTTTCTGGAATACACCCCAGGTTTTCTTCGGTAAACCCAGAGTTTCTTTTGGTCTCCTCCTCCTTTTTAAAGCGTAAGCAGTGTTTAAATAACGTTACCTCATTCATTCATTCATTCACGCTGCAAAAATTTTTTTCTTACTGGTTATTTATGTCTTATTCAAGTACAAATATCTAATTCTTAAGTTAAGATGCATTTTTTATAGATGAAAAAGGAATCTTGGGGGAAACAAGTGCATTTGAAGTAAAACATGTAAAATCCGCCATAGGGTAAGAAAAATAATATGAATGCAAACGGGAACAAGAATATTTGTAATTTTTCATTTAATTGGCAGATAATTTGCAAAATAAGAAAAATGCACCTAAATTAATTTTTTATGAAATTATTCATTAAATAAACAATGATCTTATCTGATTATTGGAAATATTGGAATACATTTGCAACTGTTTGGTCCTTTATTTAAGGACTTACTTTTTTTTTAAACTTACTTTGAAGTACCCAGAGGAAAATGATATTGCTCTATGATATTTCAAGAGATTTAAATGAAACTAAGAACTCAGCTCATTTAAGCATCAGTTTTGTCTCAGGTGTTTCTCCTAAAATATAAAGATACTAATGCGATGATTCTTGTTCTAAAGTGAATGCTATAAAATTAGTTTTTATTGCTTGGCTTAGATGATTATAAATATGAGAAATGTTTGAGTTTTTGTTTAAATTTCTTTGCAGCCTGATTCATTTGGACAAATATGAACACAATTTGAGACATTTCTGGCATTTCTTCTTAAATGCAAAATTACTGGGGTGTTTTTCTCAAGAGAAAAAAATCTTAAAAGCTGGTTCTTATTTGATCTCATTGCAACTAGGAGACACAATTAAGACATTAAAGAGGTCTCATTTATGATTTAGCTTTCCTATGGGTACAGCTGTATCTTCCTTCCCCCTTCAATCTTTTGTCCACTCCATACAAATACAGGAAATCACCCATATTAGGGGTGGAAAATACAACTGACCAGCACAACAGAGAGAGAGACACCGCTTTTTATGACCATCATATACAATTAACACACACACCTGTGTGAAAAACTATTCTAGAATATGAAGAAGATGATAAATACAAGCATTGCAGGAGATCCTTAAGCTGATTGGCCAGAAACTCCAGCCTCAGTGACATATCCGGTCACTCTTTCCGAGCTACTGACTTCAGTGAACTACACCAGCGCACTCTGTGTAATGTAAATAAAGAGAGGGAGAGAGAATAGGAGGAGGGAGGGTTTAAGCACTGCCATGTGACTATGTGGTGGTGACCTCCTGACAGTCGGTCATAACGGCAGAACGACTCTAAAGCCACAAAGTTCAGCACTTGGTGAATTCCAGGAGGTTTCAGCGACTCCTTGCCAAACTTGGACTTAAAGGAAGCGAAACCTCCTCTCCTTCTTAGGGTGAATGGTCATGTGCGTGGGTTTATGCACCTATTTGGGTCTTTTTAGTAAATGTGGTAAGTGTACAGTTAAAGTTTCCTTTTTTTAACCCTAACATCTGCTGTTGTGTTATAAGCCTGTCAAGTTTCTGTTTTCCTACATACAATAGAAGGCAACAGGAGGGTGTTGTGCTTTTGTATAACTGGCCCTTTCTGGACAGGTGTGTAGTGGTTACCTGTTGTTACACGTGATAAACAGCAAAAGAAAGATTGTATGCATGCAAGTAAGTGTCTTTGTGTGGGTTTGAGAGAGTGAAAAATCATTTAACCAAAATGAGAATAGTTTCGTAAGACGTCTGAATTGCGGTACATTAGCATTATATGATCATATCTTGCCTTCAGTAACCTCCTCTGACTTAGTCATACAGAACAGGAAGTTGCCTGCAGTGATTCAGAAGTACCCACACACTGTCCTGTCAGAAAGCTGTGTCAGGAATATGAGTTCAGATCACATGCTGTTGTGCTTCCCATGGCAAACCAAAGGGTCAACGCCTCTGACCCTGTAAACCATGCTCCTGTCAATAGACTGTTTGTTCTTCTTCTGTAATTTCTTATTCAGTGGTGTTTGCAAACTCTTAACACAAAGTATTAAAACATCAGTGTGTAACTTGTTTGTGCTACCGGCATAAATGATACCTCATTGTGTGGATTGCTGGGGAGAGGTATGTTATTACTTTTCCAAGCAACTGGAATTAAAACTTTTGCCTGGCAGATGGAAAAAGAAAATGCATGAAAAAACCCTATTAAATTATTTTGAATTGACAGGATGTAAGCCATATCAAGCAAACGTCATAAGCAGGCACCCAGCAACAACCCAGAACATCCTAGCAACACCCTAGCAATCAAACCACATAGCAATGTGCTAACAACCATTTAGAACACTTTAGCCACCACAAAGTAATGCTCTGAAACCACAAAGAGCACCTTAGTGTCATGTTGGTGAGTATTGGACTGGAAAGCATTTGCATTTCATGTTATACTTTGGTATACTTATGTGTGCTGCGTATGTTTGGTGGTGTATGTATCAATCAAACACTTGCTCTGATGGTACCCTGCAGGATAAGTGAGTCACTTATGGCAGCGGAAGACTACAAGTCATTAAGGATGAGAGCTGTTGTGTGGGGAACAGAATATGAGGACGTGTCAGTAGTATAGAGATGAGGTGAAAGCAGGTTGGATATGATGCCACAGATGTGCAATGCACATGGCAAAACTTCTCACATGAAAGGTACAGGAGTCAAAAACAGAAGTTGATTTGACAGGAAATTCACTACTGCATTTCAAGTTTCATTAAAGTTTCAGATATTACATACTGATGAATTTTGGAGTTATAATAGATTGTTTAAATATAAACTATGATCTTTGATACAGTAAACCAAGCTCTTATTAAGGCATCAACTTGCATAACTCTCTCTAGTTACAAATCTTAAGTATAACTAGAATTGTTCTAATTTTCCTAGTGTGATAATTCTGGGAAAGCCTCAGGCTTGTTTAGGACATTTGCCCTGTTTAAAGCTTTCTTGAAAGTCAAAATGCTAAGTCAGTGGAAAATGAATAAAGTCATGAATTCCTGTGTTGCTTGAGATTTTTATCTTATCCTCTCATTATGGGGGCGTTTTAGAATTATTATCTCTCTCTCTCCTCTCTCTTTTCCTCTCTCTCTCACCCACCCCTTTCAGTGAGGAGGAAACCCAGAGTTCAGCTTCACGTCCCTTTTCAGACAGTTCCAGCAGTAAATCTCCTTACGTGAACAGCTCTGACCGTTACAGGGACAACAGCTGTGGCCCCCCAGGCCCTCGGGTGCCTTTTGTGCCCCCTCCAAGCCCAGCCAGCCTTGCCTGGGCACATCGTACACGCAACCAACCAGCTAGCCTGGCCCTACGTAAACAAGAGGAAGAAGAGAACAAGAGGTGCAAAGCCCTATCAGACAGTTATGAACTCTCTACAGACCTACAAGACAAGAAGGTAAGGCATGCAAACAGTCATGATTCATTATGATCACGTTCTTTTGAAGCAAATATAACTGATGAAGCTGTTGCTGTGCAGGTGGAGATGCTGGAGAAGAAATATGGAGGTTACTTCGTGAGTAGACGAGCAGCACGTACCATCCAGACAGCATTCCGTCAATATCGCATGAATAAGAACTTTGAGCGCCTGCGCAGCTCAGCTTCTGAGAGCCGCATGACACGGCGCATCATCCTTTCCAACATGCGACTGCAGTACTCGTTTGATGACCGACATCCTCAACCTCCCACCCAGACTCACTACAGTCACAGTCCAGGAATGGGTCCTCCGCATTCTCCAACCTGCACCACAGAGCCAAGCTCCCCATCACAACCGGAATACACCCACCTAGAGGACTCCTTCTCAAAACAAGTTAGTACTCACTTTGACTGTATCAGGACTGTCCCCAACATTGGATGCTAATGTACAGGCTTCATAGCTAACTTAACCAACAATATTTTTTTTCAACTAGTTTCAACATAAAGACTGCTGGTCAAAGTTCTGCGTACCTGTCTGACCTGTTTTTTTTTCAGTGGGGTAGTGTCCTCACACCTCATGCGTATACCTTATGTGAACAGACTGTTTAAATTATCTTGTATTACAGTAAGATTTACATGGCCAGATAATGCTATGGAAAAAAACAAAAGTCCTATGGTTCCTTTACCCTTGGAAAAATTGTGCAGTACCTTTAATGGTACAACAACTTGTCACTGGGGCAGTACCCTTAAAGGTACAACTTTATTTACCCCTAAAAGGTTCACAGTAGTACTAAAAGGGTACATACTACTACTCTAAGGTACTAATATGCACTGTTCAGGGGTATATAATGTACAGTTGTACCTATAAGGTTGTACCTATAAGGGTACTGCCCCAGTGACAAAGTGTAATCCTAAAATTAAAATTTTTGTACCGTTTGTCTGACGGTGTCTATTTCTTTGTACTCAAGGTTAAGTCCTTGGCCGACTCCATTGATGATGCCCTAACATGTCGACCACGCCGAGATGATTCCCAGGAAGGTATAGGGGATGGAAGTGGTGTTGTGGATGACTTTGGCGAGTGCATATGGAGCAGCAACAGCCACGCATCCTTACGAAGAGGTCTTGGAGACAGGGATCGAGGAGGTACAGGGGGCTTGAGCATGCACGAGGATAGCACAGCCACCTCCTACAGTGATGTCACGCTTTACATGGATGACGGACTACCTTCCTCACCGCTTTCTCTAGACCGGGCCCCTAGCAGCACAGACACTGAGTTCTGGGGGGGTGTTGGAAGTGGAGTAGGTGGTAGGGAAGATAGCCGTGACACAGAAGGAGGAGGAAGCAGCAATAGCCGCCGAAGCACACCTTGCACAGAGTGCCGTGATTACCGTTTACGGGGAGGGCACTTACCGTTACTTACGATAGAACCACCTAGCGACAGCTCAGTGGACATGAGTGACCGCTCAGACCGAGGCTCCCTTAGCAGACAACTAGTCTTTGAGCAGGACTCAGCGGTAGGGTCACCTCAAGGGACACTAAAGCACAACCCTAATGCTCGTTCAACATCCTCAACAGCTGCACAAGGTCAAACACGTCCAGCTATCCGATCGATACCGTCGCACATCCCACACCACATGGCTCACCATCATCACCATCACCACCACCACCATCATCACCAGTACCCCGACACCCCTTCGTCTTCCTCCTCTCCTCAACAGCCCCCAGCCACACCGCTCTCATCCTCCTCTTCAGCTCCACTGCCTCCTGGTGGCTTGGAGCAGCAGTGCTGCTCGGATGGTGATAATGACTCACTGAACTCCACCACAAACTCTAATGAGACCATTAATTGCAGCTCAGGCTCCTCTTCAAGGGACAGTCTGCGGGAGCCCTTGCCCCCATTAGGGAAACAGACCTACCAGAGAGAAAGCCGGCACAGCTGGGACTCTCCTGCCTTTAACAACGATGTAGTTCAGAGAAGACAATATCGCATCGGACTCAACCTCTTCAACAAGTAAGAAAAAATTAAACAGTGCCTTTAAATATAACAATCCCACAATTTAACATAATAGAATGCCAGTGACTATGACTATGAAACTGAATGCATCTGATTGAAACCAGATTAAACTGTACTGATGTTTTTGGACTGCAGGAAGCCAGAAAAGGGTATTCAGTACCTGATTGAGAAGGGCTTTGTGTCAGACACACCAGTGGGCATCGCTCGCTTTATCCTGGAAAGAAAAGGCCTGAGTCGCCAGATGATTGGAGAGTTCCTTGGAAACAGACAGAAACAGTTCAACAAAGATGTACTGGAGTGAGTCCACACAATATGTGCGCTAAAAAGAAGTGAAATGGTTATTTTTTTGTCTTTAGACAATGACAAAAGGTTAAATAAATAAATTTCAAAAAGGTTTGCTTTGAAAAAATGAAATTGTTAACAACTTCTCCGAAGTTTTAGAATTCTCAGTTAACTGATACTGAATAGATATGTAGGCATACTATTTATTTAAAGGGGTCATATGATGCTATTTCAAGTTTTCCTTTCTCTTTGGAGTGTTACAAGCTGTTCGTGAATAGATAAGATCCCTAAAGTTGCAAAGACTAAAGTCTCAAACCCAAAGAGATATTCTTTATAAAAGTTAAGACTGGTCCACACCTTCCTAAAATGCCTCATTTAAACACACCCCCACATGTCTACGTCACGAACTGCCGCCCAAATGTTCACGCAAAGAAAATTACAATAACTTAATTGTTGCTGCCACCGCCACCGCCATGTTGTGAAGATGCTGTGTGTTTCGTTGCGAAAGCGAAAATACTTTGTTTGGCCTTCCAAAAGAGGACACGACTAGAAATCAGTGGTTAAGTTGTATTTACAACACTGTTCCAGAACAGATCAACCCAAATATTCAGATGTGTGCAACGCATTTTACGGAGGACGAGGACTGTTTCCTGGGAGAGTAGCCGACAATGCCGGTGTTCCGGTGAATTCAGTTCCCCTGTTTCCCCTTCGGCGCCACATGCACAGACAAAGAGAAAGTGGGAAAGAGAGAATAAGGTCTCAGAATGGCAACAAGACTAAGAGATGGGGAAGGTCATGAAGTACATTTCTAAATGCTCTTATTTGGAGCTTTCATTCCTGGAAGGCAGTGGAGATGAGTCGAGTGCTGAAATAATAAATCTTCAAAGCTATGTTTTGTTAGAAGCTTCTTCTAGTGTGTGGCCAGCGACCTGAACCTGCGAGCACCACTCGCTGTGAAACAATCTGTTCCCTTTCGTGGAACTTCGAACTGCGTCCTCTAGGGGTCGCTATGGGGAACGCCTCGTCGTGACCCGTGTCTGAAGCCTACATTGAAAAAACACCAACTTGTTTGGCCGGCGACAGCCATGACGTCACTACCGTCGCGACTAGTACAAAATAGGCGCCGGTAGCGCACATCATTCTCTTCTTCGTCTTCACTGACCGGTCTGTTTGAAGCGTGCATTCCAAAAAGCAAAGTAAGAGCTTTTTCTTTCCTACTATGGCGAGCACTAGCGAAGCGTTTAGAAAGTGTGTACATCCGTGTCAGCGGTTCCTGACACCCGATGATTCACACGATCTATGCGTTGTTTGTTTGGGCGAGGAGCACGCACACGATGTCCTCGAGGGGGCAATCTGTGTGCATTGTGAGAACTTTTCACTGAAAAAGCTCCGCTCTCGTTTGTCTCTCTTCTCGAGGGGAGAGGGACAACCATCGGTTTCCCGCGGTTCAGGACCCGCCGCTGCTGAGGCACGGAGGAGAATGAGCTCGTGGGGATCTCAGGTGGACCTAGCCGATGAGGCTGAAGGGGGGGTTTCCCTCTTCCGCGCATCGGTGTCGGGCGAGAGACAGCCGCTGGACGATGATATCCTTTCTCTAGTATCATCTGATCCAGGGGCCAGTGCTCAGTTGGGCCCAGCCCAACAAGAGCAGGAAATGGATGTGGAGAGTGAAGAAGCTGAGGCTGAGCTTTCCCAATCCACCTGCCCTGCGTATGATGAGCTGTTAGAGGTAATGGATCGAGCCACGGCAAGGCTCGAATTACCGTGGAAACGGGCCAAGGAGGTGACGTCGCGAGGTCGCCTCGACGAGCGTTATCTCTCTGGCCATACACCTCCAGCTCAAGTGAGCCTTCCTTTCCTTCCTGATCTCCACACTGAGATCGAGAAGGAATGGGAGAGGCCGTTTTCCTCACGCGTATACCGGTTTCAGCATACGAGTTATGCGAACATCGAGTCAATGCGCGAAAGCGGCTATGGGATGATGCCCCCTGTGGAAGAGACGCTAGCCAGCTATCTCTCTCTGGGGGAGACGTCATCCCTCAAAACTCCCTCCTTGCCATCCGTGCCCCTTCAAGCCACATCTCGCACGAACGGCAAGGCATACGCAGCGGCAGGTCAGGCGGTGGCTTCGTTGCACACGATGGCGGTGCTTCAGGCATACCAGGCTGACCTGCTGAAGGACCTGGATGAGGGGCAGGGCCTTTCCTCTGGCGAAACGGCTGAGCTGCGGCGCACCACAGACTTGGCCCTCCGGGCTACTAAGCAGGCAGCCTCTGCCATGGGCAGAGCGATGGCTGCTATGGTGGTGACGGAGCGGCAGTTGTGGGTGAACTTGGCGGACATCGGGAAGAAAGAAAGGGGCTTTCTTCTCGATGCCCCGGTTTCGCCCTCTGAACTGTTTGGCACCTCCGTCGAGACGGTGGTCGACAAATTCAGGGAGGCGAAGTCGCGCTCAGCAGCGTTCAAGTCCTTCATACCACGAAGGCCCAGGTCTGAGCCCGAACAAACCAGGGGTCCTGGCCCGTCTCGGTTTGAGGATCAGAGGCGGGCACAGAGGGCTAGTGTCGCGACTCGCGCCCCGCCTCCACCTGTGGGTGGGGGTGGGAAGTATCGTGGGTCGAGGGGAGGCAGGCGAAACCCGAGGGGTGAGACCTGGGCAAGGCGCCAGCGCTTTCGTCCGGGTCAGAGTAATACCTAGGTATTCACTCTCTCCCGCAGGGGGTACAACATCTACCCTGTTCTCCCCTTTTTTCTAATTCCCTCTTTTATGACCACCATCTCCAGCTGACCGAGGTTAGCTGTAAAACAATTTCAAACAGTCTCCTACTGGGCCCATGATGTTTTGGTGGTTCTATGGCCAGATCATAGTAACCGCCTGACTGATGGTCCGGTCAAAAAATCCCCGGACAGAGCTCCGGCAACAAGCCTCGTGGTGGGTGAGTATGATCCATATATCATGAGAGCATGTATACTAATGAGAGACTGAGGTGGTCATGTGTAAAATAACCTTAGAGCATGTATAAAGTTACCTGCAGAGGATGATCCGGTCAGAAGATCCTTGGAGCAGAGCTCCAGCACAGAAGTCATGGGGGTGAGTACGATCCAAATATCATGATATCTGTATATTGAGGACGGACTGAGACTGTGTAACCTGTGTAACCTTCTATAGTTCCATTGCAGTGTTGCCCGGGACCTGTACGTTTCTGTCCCTTGCTCGGTGAGGTCGGTGAGGTGCCGTTGCTGGGCTCAGAAGCCAGGTGCTCTACTTGCAGTAGGCGTTTTCACTCGTCGACATATGTCCAGGCGGTAAGAAAAAAAGCCGGGCTTCGGCTTCATACCTCCTGGATCATGCGGCCGAACACGGGTTTTTGCGGGAGCCTTCGTGAACATCAGGCCCCCGGGGCTACGCTGCGATGCACCCGGACTGGGCTACAGTGCCTGGTCGCCCCGAGGGGCTTCCTGGCCACCGGCGTATTCCTTCTTGCTGAGGCAACGAACGGGAGGTACAGGGGGCATCACCAGGATCCTCCTGTGTAAGGCTGTCTTAGGCAGGGCTCCCATCACCACTGAGATGTGCAAGCCGGCCGCTTCCAGCTGGCCGATATGGTCGGGTATCCATGAACTAAAAATCCAGCTAATATGGTAAATGTCCACGTAAAGCAAGGCTTTGCGCAACGCAGTGTCTCGTTCCCCTCAGGGAACCATGGTTACACAAGTAACCCGAGACGTTAGTTTGAAGTGCAACAGAGCAGTGGGCCAAGGAATCGTTAGTGGATATAAAGACTGGAGACCCTGTTGCATATTTTATAAAATTAAATGTTACATTTTAGGTCTGCCTTATAATAACATACATATAGTATAATTAATATTTACTGCACAGGCTTTAGGCGCGTTCACGACAGTATCATGACGCGAGCGTGTGGCGGCGCTGACCCAGATCCGGCGTAATGACGATTTCCTCAGATTTCATCAAAAATATCTTAAATTGTGTTCCGAAGATGAACGAAGGTCTTACGGGTTTGGAACAACACGAGGGTGAGTAATTAATGACAGAATTTTCATTTTTGGGTGAACTAACCCTTTAAAATATAAAATTATAATTATTGATGTACATGCACTACATTTTAATTTTAATCAATAAATTTTTATCTTTTTGCGAAAATTAAATATTTAGCTTCTTAATTTTAGCTTTGATTGACATTTACCTAATAATGAAAATTTTGTTCCATGCATGTTTTATTTTTTGAGATCAAACAATAATTGTCAGATCCCTTTGGGGTTGCGGAGCCCAAAGGCCCTTGCAATGGAGCAATACAATATTCCATGCAATACTACATCAAACAATTCACAGAAAATAAAATAAAGACAGTCATATTTAGCTTTTTCTTGATCCACAAACAAATTGATGCATGTTTTGGCATGAGCATGTATAGATGTGTAACTTTTTCTTCTGCTTTTTTCTCAGTTGTGTTGTGGATGAAATGGACTTTTCTGGAATGGATCTTGATGATGCTCTGAGGAAATTTCAAGCTCAGATAAAAGTCCAAGGAGAAGCCCAAAAAGTGGAAAGGCTTATTGAGGCTTTCAGGTATATGAATATGCTTGTAGTTAAGAACACTTAGCACTTCACATTTATTAAATTACACCATGAGAGGCTGGGATGGTTACAGTGATTTTAACATTATTAAGGGGCCGTGTTAAAAGAAAATTCCTATTGATGTGCGGTCAGAGTTGTACATTTATCAGCTATTTTACTGTGGCATCACACAATCCTTCAATATTTGCACTCAAATGCTATTTCTCTCTAAATCTGTCTTGTAGCCAGAGGTACTGTGTTTGTAATCCAGCACTGATAAGACAGTTCCAGAACCCAGACACCATCTTCATCCTAGCTTTTGCCATCATCCTCCTCAACACAGACATGTACAGCCCCAATATCAAAGTGGAGAGGAAGATGAAGCTGGACGATTTCATCAAAAACTTGAGAGGTGGTGTTCAAATCTCTCTCTCAAACTTCACACACTGACACTTACATAAGTGGGCAACCACAAACACAGTCTCAATCTGCTCTTAAATGTTGCACATAACTGTCAAGGATTTTGCAAGTACACTAAAGATGTATGCATGTCATTTTTTCTCTCTCTTTCTCAGGGGTGGATAATGGTCAGGACATCCCACGTGACTTACTGGTTGGAATCTACCAGCGCATTCAGAAGTGGGAACTGAGGACCAATGATGACCATGTTTCTCAGGTCCAGGCCGTGGAGAGAGTCATAGTGGGCAAGAAACCTGTGAGTCCTACTGAGTCATTTTTGAATGTATGAATCTTTTTGGATTAGAATCTTTGTGACCTGATTTGTTACTTTGAAGTGTTCTGTCAGTGTGAAATCATACTTTTTGACCTGCTTGATTAACTGTTTGTAATATGATTCCAAAGTAAATGTGCACATCTGCTCTGTGTGTAGGTTCTGTCTCTGCCCCACCGCAGACTAGTGTGCTGCTGTCAGCTCTATGAAGTCCCGGACCCCAACCGTCCTCAAAGGTCTGGAGTTCACCAGAGAGAGGTCTTCCTCTTCAACGATCTGCTTGTGGTAATGTCAATAACACATATCAATTATCCATGCATACAAAATGAATTTTAGCAACATCTTTTCAGTATGCATGTGTATTGTAAAGTTAATACATATTCAAATCCTTAGTAGTTATTTTTCTTCATTATTACATGGCAAGGTTACAAAGATCTTCCAGAAGAAGAAAACCTCCGTAACGTACAATTTCAGACAGTCCTTCCCTCTGGTGGAGATGCAGGTTCACATGTTCCAGAACTCCTGTAAGATTTCAAGTTGGTTATTTTTTGTTTTTCTTTGTTTGGATTAGTCTATCATGCTCACCAAGATTGCATTTATTTGCTCAAACATACAGTAAAATGCAGTAAAAACAGAGATATATTACAATTTAAAACCACTGTTTTCCATGATCATTGGCACTGAAGTTATAATAATTAAGCTTTTTGAGTAAATTGTAACTTATACCTGGGTAGTTTTTTTAATACACTACTGTTCAAAAGTCTGGGTCTGTAATTTTAATAAAATTAATACTTAATAGGATGTGTTAAATTGATCAAAAGTGTCATTTAGTAAAGGCATATATAATGTTACAAAATTTTTAAATTTCAAATAAATGCTGTTCTTTTGAACTTTTTATTCGTCAAAGAATCCTGAAAGAATTTAGCATGGCTTTCACTGAAATATAAAGAAGCACAACTGTTTTTAACTGTGGTGATAGTAAGAAATATTTCTTAAGCAGCAAATCAGCATATTAAAATGATTTCTAAAGGATCATGTGACGCTGAAGACTGGGGTAATGATGCTGAAAATTCAGCTTTGCATCACAGGAATACATTACTGTTTAAAATATATTATAGAAAACCTAGAAATATCAGGGAATTTTAATATTTTTATTTATAAAAATGAAAAAGTCATGGAAATTTCTTTAGTGAATATAAATTGTATATTCTAAAACATAAAAAAAAAATTGTATGCTCTAAAACATCATTTCAAACTATTAATTCAAGCCTATAGTACAAAAAATATATTTAAAAAAAAATGGAATATGACATTGCTATTTAGAAACCCTGAATAAACAATGTTTTTCTCTCTCTCTCCCCAGACTATCCTCATGGTGTCAGACTAACTTCAGCGATCCCGGGTGGTGAGCATAAAGTTTTGATTGTGTTCATGGCCCCTAGTCAACAGGACCGCACACGCATTGTCACTGATCTGAGGGAGAGCATTGCTGAGGTCCAGGACATGGAGAAATACAGAGTGGGATGTGAGTACAGCGCCCTCTGCTGCTCTCAAAAATCTGCTACACTTTATTCTAGCGCTCTACTGGTGGTTTGCTACAACATTACCATTATAGATTTACAATGACCCTATCTGGTCAACCCAATGACTCATAGAAAACACATGATAAACCAGATAAACATAGCACAGTGTAAAATTGCTTTTAGGATGTGTACAGACAAATTACCTGATGCTGGAAATGTTTTGCCTGTTTAGGACAAGGTGTTACCATCCACTGATGTTTCTTTTTTGTCCACCTGCAGCTGAGTTGGAGAAGCAGAAGGGAGTAATGCGGCCCAGCCTGCTCACCAACAGCATTATGGCTGGAGGAGTGGGTGGGGTCAAGAATGAAGTGGTGAATGGCACTATGGGAAGGCCTAGTCTGGATGACAACTATTCACCAGGAGAGGGCCTCAAACGTACTGCTCTCAGCTCCTCACTGAGGGACCTGTCTGAATCAGGTGAGGCAGTGCTGTGGTGGTGCTGAGGTGCTGTTAATGGCAACCAATTTACTTATGATAACTGAATACCACTACATTAGGGGCAATTATGCAATTGTGAAAAATAAACTATATATATATATTAAAGAAAAAAAAATCACATACTGGGTTTATTTTAAGCAAAATTGTAATTTTTGGGTGAGATTTTGGGGTTTCAAAAATATTCTCAACATTTGCAGACGCCAACAAGAAAGTGCGATTCTATTAACACTGACTGCCATTACACTCACTCACACACATACACACACAATACAGTTGTGACTGACATCTGCTAACTGGGTAACAGGGAAACGTGGCCGCAGAAACAGCGTTGGTTCCCTTGACAGTACAATGGAAGTAAGTCTGAGTGAAGCAGAGGTCTGTATCTTTAGCTTTAGTCCCCAATCCTGAACCACATGCATGTCTGCCTGGAATTCCCACACAAAACACGGTGCCATCTTGCATGTGTCCTAACCATAGACACAGAGCCATGTGTGTGCATCTTGTGTGACCATGTGTGGTCTGTGGAATGTTAATGTACACGTGACCGAGGCAATGAATCAATAACATCAGTCATCGAGACTGCATGTGAAGATCTGCAGTCATTCGGGACATAAGGACTGGAAGACATCTCATTGACCCAGAATTAAAGCATGATAAAATGTCAAAAAATGGAAGGCCTTTATTATGTCTTTATCATCTTATGGTTTTGTTGTGCATTTTATTGCTTTGAATGTGGTTTGTGCATATGTTTGCAGTGCTATGCATGGACTAGTGAGTGTGTGATATCAGTTCAGTTGATTTTTATGTTGAGACCTACTTTATATTAGGTGTCCTTCATAAATCTAAACCAGTATGAAATCAAAATAGACCTTTTTTACTCTTTTAATACACACACTTTTTTTTTATCTTATTTGAATATTCTGTTTTACTTGTCTGATTACAGAAGTAGAACGGGTTACAATGCGGTTTCATTTTGACTTTAATGGCAACTACACAGATGAGTAATTTCCTGTTAGCACAGGTTTTGACCATTACACAAAATAGAAATTAAATCCCACTTGAAGTTACAAATAAATCAACACTGGCATTATTGGCATTTGGGACGCATAATAGATAGTTGGGTGCATGTGTTTGTGTTATGATGTTCTGAATTATGATGCAGACAGAATGTTGTTTCATTACCCTAATCAACTCACCCGTTTTTTCTCCCCACCCACTGAAACAACCATTCTCTCTGTATCCTTTTACTATATTATTCTTCTCTTTCTTGTTTATTGCCTACATTTCTTTCCTGCTCCTCTTTGCACACCCTCACTTTTCTCCCGAACCCTCGTTTTTGGCTCTGCCGTCCTCCTCTCTTTCCTCCTTTCCCCCAACTCTCTTTGTCTTAGGGTTCCATCATTAGCAGTCCGCGGCCTCACCAGCGTTACCCAGTAGCCACTGTGCTCCCAGGATGCTATGGAACAGAAGACTTCCGGCCTCACCGCCCCATCCTGAGCCCCGGAGTGGGGGTGGGGGGTGGGCCGGGGCAGCAACACACACCTGTGGTGACTGGCGCTGGGCCGGTCTCCAGCAGCCTCTCTCCACTCTCCCCCCCCAGCACCAAGGCCCCCCTTCACAGGCCGGAGGTCAGCAAGGGCCCTCGCCAGCTCAGACTGGAGCCGTACCTGGGGGGACGGGCACAGTCGAACGCGCCAAATCCAAACCTACCAACCGGATCAGCACGGTAGTGTGAGCCGGGGGAAATCACGAGGCTGGGGGTCACTGAAGGGTCCTTTGGTGGTTGGAGGGGGGACCGCCGCGAGGCTGGAGGAGGCAGGTGGCGGCAGGGCCAAAGCCGATAACAACACCAGTGGGAAAAAGAAACGCAGCCTGCTAAGACTCTGCTACTTTCACCTGCGCTTCCCTCAAGTGTAACCGAAGGGACTTACCAAGGCAAAACAGCACAAGCACACGTATGTCATACCGATAGTTGGAGGCTCTCAGGTAGATCAGTGCTGTGGGATATACACTCGACAACAATAACAAAAAACATTCATAACACTTTGCTTTCAATTCAGTTGTTGTAGATATCATTGATTTGGTATTCGAGCCAAACCCTTCTTAGCTACTTCTCCTTAAATCCCATATTCAGACAAGAAATAACCTACTAAAGCATGTAAAGGGATTACAGACATGTGGACATGCACACACAAACTCGAACACAAAATTGTCCACAGGCTTGCTTCAATTACATATAGCCATAAAGTTAGGGTAAAATAGTTGCATTTTGCATTCATCATCACAGGTGTTGGGGAAACTGTTTGGGTACCTTGCTTAACCTGGGAACCTGTTTAGCAAATGTGAAGACCAGAGACCATACAAATAATGCTGTGCTGGACATGAAGATCAAAGCACAGTACTTGGCAAAGTACAATGATTTCATACATTCCAGTGATCATATTGAGCATTAGTCAATAGCATTTGCAAGATGCAATAATCTTTTCACTAAATTGATGTCCAGATTCTACTTGCTAAATAAATTTAAATGCTCTATTGCTCTTTCTGTACACATCTATAACGGTCGATATATTTGAGTGCTAATAGAGATATATCTACAAAGCAAATATCTACACCCGGTATGATTGTTTGAAGTATGTCAGTACTGGCCTGACCTCTTCCACTCCTAAGACTAGTCAGCTGTAAAAAGCCTTGTACTGTATGTGGATGTGCTGTTTGTAATCATCCTAGAATCATTATCCATCAGAATTATTAACCTGTGTATATACAATTATATGATATTTTAACACAAAATAATATATCAGTAATGTTACTACACTTTATCTATGAACATGATGTTCATTCCCACAGTTGCACCATTACCATGTTTCAGAAAATACAAATGTTTACACAAATAAGAAGACAATAAGTTAATTTCATAATTTGATCCATAACAAGCTAATTTTGGTGAAAAATTCTTTTTTATGTTAATTTTATGTTCGATTTAAAGCATTGTGTCTAAAATCTAAACATTCTCTCATGGCAACATTGTTTTTATTTAATATTTTTACTTCTTTTTTAACTAGTTGGTGACCATTATCATCCATATCTAAACTCTTAGCACATTTCTAGTGAAGTTCCAGTAAAGTGTCAAGGCCCAGAATGTGAAAACAAAAGGCACTTTATAGACTAATGTGTTTTCTGAACTACATTAAATTAATATCTCTATTAAACAAAAACATTTTCCAGCTGAAGTATGTTTATCTATATGAGGGCTAGTGAGACACATATGAAGGAAACATTCCACAAAAGATTGTTGCCTCTCTATTTCTCATCAAACTTCACATCTGAAATGCCTGTATTATGCAGTTTCCATTGGGTGCTTGCATTAATACTGCCAATCATACTTAAGGTGTTTTTGATTATATTTTACGCTGTTATATGAATGTTTGCTATGAATTTCAATTCTAATGAATATAACTATTCTTCTTTTATGTTATAAAAACTACAGATGTTATAAATTTGACAAAATATGAGAGATATTTGTAAATAGGAAAAGTTTTCTCATGCTTTGACATTCTACAGTGAAGTGTCAAGGATGTGTTTTATTGTTATTGATGATTTTTATGGACAAACACACTTGTCTTTATAAGTGTCCTTGAATGTTGGAGACTTTGTATGGGTATTATTTAAAAAATTTTTTAACAGAAGTTGTGTACCAGTTATGATATTTTTGATTCAGCTTTGTGTGCATCTGATTTTTGTTTTGAGCTACAAGACTGCCTATTTTTACATGTTAAAAACATAACGCCATGCTTCAGTTTTCAACAGGCTACCCTACCTCTTTTTTTTCCTCCGTATGAATAATGGAGGAGAGGAGGAAGATGGCAGAACCAGTATAATTATCACATTAATACAAGGATTTCAGTTTACCTGTATGAGAAATCAAGGTAATTTAGCCTTAAAGGGGTCATATGATGTTGCTAAAAAGAACATTATTTTGTGTATTTGGTGTAATGAAATGTGTTTATGCGGTTTAAGGTTAAAAAAACATTATTTTCCACATACTGTATAGCTGATGCGGGGCCCAGTGCGAGGTAGGAAGCGGGGCCCCCCTCTGTCCGTTCGCGATCGCTTTCCAGGGAGGGGGGGGGTCTCCTTGGTCCGTTCGCCGCGGGGCCCCCTCAAAACACGGGGCCCAGTGCGACCACACCAGTTGCATCGGCCAAAGGACGGCCCAACACGTGACGACCCCGGGCTGGACTCCGCTTCGTCCTCTTCTCACATCGTGACGTAGACATGTGGGGTGTGTTAGAACGAGCCGTTTTAGGTAGGCGTGGTTGACTCTTAACTTTTATAAAGAATATCTCTTTGGATTTAAGACTTTAGTCTTTGCAACTTTACAGATCTTCTTTATGCACCAAGAGCTTGTAACACTCCAAAGAGAAAGGAAAAATTGAAATCGCATCATATGACCCCTTTAAGTAAGGCCCTAGTGTAAGTACTGCTTGAAGTTTTTGTTTGTGTGGATGCATAATGTGATCTCAAGTGCTGTTATATATTTCTGGACTGGGCTTAATGCAGATGCTCAGTATTATTTGTCTTGATGTGATGCTCAGTTATTGTGTGCAAGATATTTATGTTCTTTTGCTACCCTTTCAAAACGCCATCTCTTTCTATGTGCTCCTGAATATGCTAATTACATATGATCAGCACTCCACACTAAATAATAGCACAGTATAAGTGAAAATGGGGATCCAGTTACATATGGTTACATACACACAGCCAGATACCAATGTGAGATGAGAGAGAATATAAAGATTAGAAAATCATAACTTTGCATTTACTTTATTTAATGATTCCCATAATCTTTTTTTATTAACTGTCCATCTTCCCGCTGTGAATTTTATTGCATGAGTATGTCTGTATTTACTGAGCTCTGTGACAAACTGTACATAGACTGTCGTAGTATGATTTAATATTGGCAGTGGAATGGGAAGTGTCAAAGGTGTATGTACGAGTGTGTGTGTGTGGGGGGGGGGGTAAGTTTGTGTGAATGTGTATGGGGAGGTGGCATTAAGTGTAGATGATGATTATTGCATATTTATTTTGATCCAAGAAAATTTATTTTATCTGTAAACTTGTACAAGTGTGTATGTCAAAGCAGATTGAAGTGTAATTTTGAAAAAAGGTATATGAAGTCATCTTATTTGTGTACAGATAATATATGAAATTAAGCAAATTCAGAGAGATGTGAATATTTATTGCCTAATATGAGTACAAATATATAATGTGTCTTGACACAACTCATTGTTCTGTTTGTCTTTTTTCAGGTATTTTGATTAAGATCATATAAATATAATTTTTTTAATGTATAAATCTATCATTTTGAACTACAGTACATAATCTTTAAGGGGAATAATTAACCCCAAAATTAAAATTAATTTACTCGCCCATATGTTTCTCCATATCTGTATGACTTTCTTATGTGGACCACAAAACACAGATTTCTAGGAAACGACAGCCTCAATCACCATTCACTTTCATTGCATCTTTTTCCAAAATGAAAGTAAATGGTGACAACATGAGGTGAGTAAATTATGAGAGATTTTCATATCTGGGTTAACTATCCCTGTAAGAGTTGATATATTCATTCTGACTCACCATCAAAATCCCTGGACCAGCATAATGGATATATTACAACTTTATATGTTTAAAACTATGCTTAAAATTAAATAATACATTAATGACCTGTTTATATAAACAGAAATAACACACTGCCTAATTGATAGAAAAAGGAGTGAAATTCCAAGTTTAATTTGATCTGATCTGATCCAACCCAATGTATTCGTTGAAATTAATCATTACAGACTTAAAGGGATAGTTCACCCAAAAATGAAAATTCTGTCATTAATTACTCACCCTCATGTCGTTCAAAACCCGTAAGACCTCCGTTCATCTTCGGAACACAAATTAAGATATTTTTGATGAATTCTGAGAGCTCTCTGACCCTCCCATAGACAGCAATGTAATTACCACGATCAAGGTCCAGAAACGTAGCAAGGAGATCGGTAAAATAATCCGTGATGCTTTGATTTGAACAAAAACAACGTATCCGCGTGGCGCATACGCAATTTCAGTGGATACTCTCCAAAATGGCGCTAGGGTGAGGCGGAGGAGACGAATTGTTGAATAAAGTCGTTTTTTTTTTCTTTTGCGCAAAAAAAGTATTCTCGTAGCTTCTTATATCGAAATCCTCCGACATTTTTCTTTGCAAATCTTCGGTTTGTACTTCTAATTCGTGACCGGCGTTTTGTTTTGTTGTCTCTCCGCATTCTTCACTAATCACACAACGCCGACGTGCTACGTCATCCGCCGGCAGGCCTTCTGTAGTGAATCCATGCGTTTTTGTAAGAAAAATATCCATATTTCAAACGTAATAAACACTTTTCTCTCACTTCCGTTATCTTTCATACTGCGGAAGCCGTTCCGGCAGAAGGTGTATGACGTATGCGCAGCGCGCGTGCCTCTGAGATATGCTAGTCTCGCAAGTTTGTTTATAGGAGCAAAGGAAGCAAAGTGTCCTTACTTTAGCAAAGGAGAACCAGTCTCCTCTTGGCTTATATCGAAATCCTCCGACATTTTTCTTTGCAAATCTTCGGTTTGTATCCAGTACAGAAGAACTTGCTGGTGGAAATTAGATAATTTTACAGGTAATTTGTATAAATCATAGTCACAATGCAATAGAACCTCAATTCCACCCATCTTTTGAAAAATTGCATTCGGGATGCTAAACCAAAAAGAGTCTTTGTGACAAACAAAGTACTTCAACCATTTCAGTTTTAGTACACCATTCATCACAGAAAAATCTATAACATTCATGCCACCATCTTCAATACTCTTAATCACGTCAGCTTTTCTAATGTAATGGCATTTATCCATCCAAATAAAATTGAAATTTATCTTGTTTATTAATTTGATCATGTTATCTGAAATTTCTCATGAAAAGGCAGGGTAAATAGCTCTTGATATACTCTCCATCTTGGATAGTAGAACCCTACCAAAAATTGTTATATCCCTTTGTAACCAGGAATTCAATATTGCTTTACATTTATCAATATTTCTAAGAATGTTTTCTTTTTCCCTTACTTCTTTGTGTCTGGTGACCGTGATGCCCAAATATTTGACTTCTGTTTTAACCTGTATATTCTCAATTAAGCGAGCCGGTTGATTATTCAAAGCAAGAATTTCACATTTATTAATGTTCAATGTAACACCTGATGCTTTCGAGAATTGACTGATTGAATCTAACGCTGTGGAGATCTGCCTTTCATCTTTTAGAAATAGAGTTGTATCGTCTGCAAACTGACTTATTATGATGTGTTTTCCCATGATGTTAAAGCCATCAGATTTATTCATTCTAATCATGATAGACAGTAGTTCAGCAACCAATATAAATAATAAAGGCGAGCTGTTGCAGCCCTGTCTAATACCCCTCTTGACTGTAAATCGTGAACATGTGCCATGTTCCAAAGATACACAGCTGTTGATATCATTGTAAAGTAGACTAATTGAATTTGTGAATTTCTGTCCAAAACCAAAATGATTTAAAGTTTCTATCTGTTTTAACCTGTATATTCTCAATTAAGCGAGCCGGTTGATTATTCAAAGCAAGAATTTCACATTTATTAATGTTCAATGTAACACCTGATGCTTTCGAGAATTGACTGATTGAATCTAACGCTGTAGAGATCTGCCTTTCATCTTTTAGAAATAGAGTTGTATCATCTGCAAACGGACTTATTATGATGTGTTTTCCCATGATGTTAAAGCCATCAGATTTATTCATTCTAATCATGATAGACAGTAGTTCAGCAACCAATATAAATAATAAAGGCGAGCTGTTGCAGCCCTGTCTAATGCCCCTCTTGACTGTAAATCGTGAACATGTGCCATGCTCCAAAGAAACACAGCTGTTGATATCATTGTAAAGTAGACTAATTAAATTTGTGAATTTCTGTCCAAAACCAAAATGATTTAAAGTTTCTAAAATAAAGGGATGTTCTACCGAATCGAAAGCTACAGAAATAAAAAAAATAGCCTACAATGAAACCCTGATCTACAAATGTATGACTGTAATCAATAAAATCTAGTACCAATCGTATGTTATTATGAATAGATCTTCCAGCAAGGAAGCCAGATTGGGTTTCATTTATTATCTGGGGCAGGCCTTTTTTCATTCTAGCTGCAATAATTCCCGATAATAATTTATAATCGGTGTTAAGAAGCGTGATGGGTCTTAAATTATCTAACAATCTTTTGTCTTTGCCATGTTTAGGAATAAGTATTATTAGGCCTTGCTTCGTGGTTGTCATTAATTCGTTCTTTGCAATGCATTCTTGAATTGCCTTAAATAACAAACGTCTTATATCTTACCAAAAGAATCTATAAAATTCGTCTGTGAGCCCGTTGGTACCCGGGGATTTATTCAATGATAATCCCAAACTCACATCATCCAGTCCTTCAATTCTTAAATCTGACTCACAAAGTTCTTTAAATTAATCATCAATCTTGGGTATGAAGTCTTTAATACTATTTAGAAAATTTGAGGGATCTAGCTGGGAATATGCAGAAGTGTAGAGATTATTATAAAATGTGAAAACTGTCTTCTCAATAGTTTTATTATCTTTACATTTTCCTGTCTTCTCTTCTCTAAATTACTGAAGTAAGAGGTACTTCAAAATTACTTTTCTCCTTGCTCTAGTCCAGGGGTAGGCAAACTTGGTCCTTCCAGGTCACTTTCCTTCAGAGTTTAGCTCCAACTCTAATCAAACACACCTGAACCAGCTAATCATTGTCTTCAAGACTACTAGAAAGCTACAGGCAGGTGAGTTTTATCAGGGTTGGATCAAATCTCTGCAGGAAAGTGGCCTGGAAGGGCCAAGTTTGCCCATCACTGCTCTAGTCTATCCACTTTGTTCGCGATCTCACAAACGCTCTTTGAGCTCTTTTGCAATACATAGGCCTATCGTCTAATTTGGACTGCAATATCAATAGTTTGTTTTTATATTCACTGTTTAATTGTGCCTTATCACAGGAACAGGTTACATTCTTCTCTTCTTTTTTCCAAGGCAATCTCCTTACTAAACTTACTAAAAGTTATGGAACTTTCTCTAATTCTATATTTTACAAATTCCCATTTACTGCAAAGACTATTTATAGTCTCATTATTTTCAATTTCAATTATTATTTCTTTTATCTTTGTATTTACAGATTTACAGGTGTTATTAGGTTTAAGTCACTTGACATGTGGCCAAGTATGGTTACCCATACTCTGCATTTAACCCATCCTAAGTGCACACACACACACACACACACACACCCGGAGCAGTCATTTATTATGCTGCGGCGCCCGGGGAGCAGTTGGGGGTTCGGTGCCTTGCTCAAGGGCACCTCAGTCGTGGTATTGAAGGTGGGAGAGAGCGCTGTACATTCACTCCCCCCACCTACAATCCCTGCCAGACCTGAGACTCGAACTCGAGACTTTAAACTTCTCCAAATATCTATCAGGTGATTTCTATTCATAAATTCCGAGAAGGTTGTATGTTGTATGGTTAAAGTGGTAGCTGTCAAATTTAGTGGGCCATCTTCTGTCTTCCCATTCGTCAGGTGTCATATTCCAGTCACCTCCCATTAGAATAAAGTCTGTAGGATAAACTGTTTTGAGCTCTGATAAAGTGTTTGTAATTTATTCAAGCATTTCTTTATTGAACTGATAAATGACGTCAGAAATGACTATCCCTTTAAATGAGTGGTTTTGATGTGTCGCCACTAGTCGTCGCTACCCGTTTTGACCTCTTCTGCGCAAATTTTACTCACTGGAACTACTTCGCCAAGAAAGAGGTGAAATATCACTCCGCGTCACGTCCGCTCGTCTACCCGCATCACTTGTACAACTACTCACAATTCGACATAACATGATATATAGACCATTTTTAACATACGCGTGAAACCAATACCCATTTACTGTTATATCCAGTACGACAATTTACCTCATTCGGTGTTAAATCGGACGAGTCCAGGGACTAGTTTACATGTAACGAGAAGCGTGGAGGGATGAGACCGCGCTCGCATCCAGTCAATTGCGTGTTTTCCCAACTGAGATCAATGGATCTTGAGAGAGTTGTGCTTAGGTCGTGATGAAACCAAGATGGCGTGTAGTTCAGACAGGATGAACGGTGGATAGCTGACGAGGGAAGAAAACACTGGGAACGACGCGTATTTTGTGCGCGGAACGGTTATTACAAGGAAAGCGTCAGCTTACACGGGACGTTCAGGAGTTAACGTTAGTTGAAAAGAAGACATCCGCGATCATCATCCCTCTAACCGACCGAGAGTGTGTGAATGTGTGTGTTGAGTGTGTGTGCTGGGATGGGCTGATCGAGGAGGCCGCAGAGCCACTGCCACCCAGAGACTGACCCTCCACCGAACAACAGACCCCGTGATCATCAAACAAGAGCCCGAAAGACAAATAATAAAGCACATTGGCTCACTAATCATTCCGAGGCGACACCGAAGAGTAAGAAGAACTCAGACCAAGTGCAAAAAATGTAAGACTGGTGCTCAGATTCACAGCACTGATGGCTAAATGTATGTTGATTTAGCGCAAGTGTTTATGTTTTACCTGATATATCCGATATATAATGCCACACATCAAATACCTGCGACCCGAGACAACTACACTATCTCACACGGTCTTCACCCCTTGTGTGTTTCCACAACTCAGCCATTCTTTAGAAATCGAGTCCTAATGTTTGACCCTGTTAATGGATTTATAATCTGTTTATGCCTTCATACAGTCGGGTATTTGAGATTCGTTATACTTTTGACATAAAAAAGTCGTTTGTTGGATTTGGCGTGAGTCTGCTGACAAACGGATGGTGAGGCTTTATTGTTTTGATCGTTAGCCGGACAGCTAACCAGCTACTTTTATAAAACTGCGTTCTTAGCAATTCCCCAGGGCACATAATTTACCCAGAAAGTCGCAAAAGTGTCAATTCATCACATTTTAACGGTCTGTTTACTATTATCTGTGAATTTGAAAGCTGTTCTCGAATCTAGCGCGAGTTGAGGCCGGTTAGCAGGCTAAAGCTACAGGAAATTTGGGATTATGGCTTCAAACCATGAGCTGTGTACCCTAGAAAGCATTTTTGACCATCATATGAATGTGCTTTTTGTCTAATTTTAATGTCGTTTGTTTACGTAGGCAGCTTACTAGGATCTGCGAGACAGCCACTGTCAGCAATGTTTTATTTATAACATTTCTGTCACGACTTTGTCAGAAGTACATCTAATTGATTAGCCAAACGTCAGATAATAAAAACATCATTTGAACGAGACAGGTGGTGTTTTGGATTATGCATGTTCATATTATTAATTCATAATGATTGATCCGTTAAAACGAGAAGTTGTTGGGTTGGGAAATAAAGTGTGAACGTTTTCCGTCACGTGATCCGCTTTTGTTGTTTACACAACATGGAAGCTACTAGTGCAGAAGGTTTAGACGTAGTGAATGAATGGCATGTGTAATATAAGGTATTTTACTGTTTTATAAGGCGCACATTTGATTAGGCTATTTATGTATTCCAGACAAAGCCTAATGAACAATGTTTCACTCCCTCCCTCCCCCATTTTGTCTGGTTTGAGACTGAGAGGTAGATAAAGTCAAAAGTAAGGGGATTTCTGAAGTTAGAAAGGGTATGGTGTTTCGTTAGAAAGGTGGATTTCCAGACTAGAACTAGAGAACAAGTTTCTGTTCTACAATTCCTTATATTAAACTGCTTGAGGGATGGTCTTTTTCCTTTGTGCTCTAAACTTCCCGATTAGTTCAATGCATGCAACATCAAGGCCTTTCTGTCAGATTTATGTACGTTAATTAGATTTATTTTGACATGTATGCTTTTGTGCTGGTCGTATATGGATCAAGTGCTGGTATCCATTAGGGTGAACTCTGAACTATTAAATATAGGGATTAAAAGATATCATGGCTGATAGTGTCATTTGATCATGGTGATGTTTTAAGACATGAACTAACAAAAGATGATAAAATATATATAGATATAAATCACATTAAATAAAAACAATGGACCTTGTTAATAAAACACAAGGTGAATGATTTCAGGGTTTGTAAAACCGCATGTGCAAACTTGCATAAAGTTTCACATTCAGTGAGAATGATTTATATAATTGATTTTTAGTCTGCTTGTGTTGTATGAAAGAAGGCCAATGTGATTGTATTTGCTTTTGATTTAGTAGTTACTTTGTTTGATTTAAGTGAACTTAAGCATTTGATTTTAACTTGAATTGTGTTGCTTTCAGAGCGATGGATGGAGGGGAGGAGTTTGTTCCGCCGCCGGAATGTCCAGTGTTTGAACCGTCATTGGAGGAGTTTGCCGATCCTCTGGGATATATTGCCAAAATCCGTCCAATAGCAGAAAAGTCTGGAATATGCAAGATTCGCCCACCACCTGTAATCATCTCTTGCATTTTTTGTGATGTCGTTCCAAACCTGTGTGACATTATATCGTATTTACAACATAAACAATGATATTCTGAAAAGCAAAGTTGTTTTTTTTTTGCCCATAGTATCAAAGTCAGTGCTTAAAACTGTTTGGCTTGCAACATTCTTCAAAATATCTTTTTTTTTTTTTTGTTCTTCAGTATTTTCATTTTTGGGTAAAATATTCCCTTAAGGTTAGACCATTATGAAAATACTTACATTTGGTTATTTAAACAGCCTTTTTTTCCATTACAGGACTGGCAGCCACCTTTTGCTGTGGAGGTGGACAATTTCCGGTTCACACCACGTATTCAGAGGCTCAATGAGCTTGAGGTCAGAGCTGCATCCTGTTGAACTCATCACTCGCCTGTCCTACTCCATGAAGCATGACCCACATATTCTTATGTTGACTAAGCACTAACACATCTGGTTTGTTTGTTTTTTGCTTAGGCCGAGACACGAGTGAAGCTAAATTATCTGGACAGAATTGCCAAGTTCTGGGAGATCCAGGCATCCTCTCTGAAGATCCCCAACATAGAGCGACGTAGTCTGGATCTGTTCAGCTTGGCCAAGGTGAATACTGCAGTCTTTTACGGAATTGACAGAGTTGTTTGGTGTAAGGAAAACAAGATAAGAGAGTTGGTCAACAGAACTTTAATAGACTTTAAAGTAAACACATCCTAAGAAAATCATAGATCTATAGAATAGCGTAAACTGGAAAGACATAAAGGTTGGCATTCATGTGAGTCTGTAGTTCACATGTTGTATGTCCTGTGTGGTAGATTGTGACAGACGAAGGAGGTTTCGAGGCGGTGTGTAAGGAAAGACACTGGGCACGCGTGGCACAGAAACTCGGTTATCCTCCTGGCAAAAACATTGGCTCTCTCCTGAGGTCACACTATGAGAGGATTGTCTATCCGTTTGAGTTGTTCCAGTCTGGAGCCAGTTTACCGGTACAGTGTTTGAACATTTATCATTATTGTTTGAAAACATTCACTTGTTCTGCATTAAGTAAGAGTAGCAGTATAATTTTTCATTGAATGTGCTGACACGCGCACAAATATTCTAGTATTTCAGATTCCTATAATCAGAATTTGGTCATATTGTGAATATGTGAACATCAGGTCTATACAGGAACCTGAATCACATTCCCATATTAATCTGAATTTTGGGTAAAACCTTATTTGGAACAACTACCACAACTGTACATTCATTTATTTCAGTGCATACCCAGACCAGGGTAATTCTGTGTGATATTAGATACAAGCAGTTTTAAAACATGTACTTTTCAATTGCTTGATTTTACACAATCATTTAAAGAGAAGTCATGACCTACATTTTGTAATTTGTCTCTTTTTTTTGTGTGTGCTATTGTTAAGGACATAAATGAGAATTAATGAGTTGATCAAATTACTGTCTGAAATTACAGAAGCGAATCACAAGAATGGAATGTGCATGTCTTGGTTTATTCGAATGTGCTTATTATATGCTCTCAATAATATTCTGTGGAGCAAGTAAATGTCTTTTACAAATATAAAGCTGACACGTTTGTGTCCTGCATGTTCAGCCATGCAAACCCAGGCTGTATGACAGTGATGAGATAGACCGGGAATACAAACCCCACTCCATTCCTCTCCGCCAATCAGTCCCGCCATCCAAGATGAGCAGTTATGGACGACGAGCCAATCGCCTTAAGCCCGAGGTGAGTGACATTTCTGGACCAGTGTGTGTGTGAAATTGTTTTTTTTAAATCTCAGGATTTCATTGTGGTGTCATTACAGTCTCACAGTATTTGATCAGCATTTTTTTTTTCTAAATTTAAAAACCAATTGTAACAAAAATGGAAAAAAAAAACAGTGCAGTGATTTTGAAAATAGCATAATTTCACGTGTAACATTTACAGATAAATGAAATTTATATCAGTTATGTTAAAATCAGTGTTTACATTTTACAAAATTCCCTATTAACAAAGATTTTACTAAATTGTGCCGAAATCAACTAGTCTAATCTTTATTTTTAGTTTAGTATTGTTGACTTTAACCTTTGCTGTAAATGTATGTATAACTGTCCAGGGGTTAATGGATCCATCCAAATATGTGCTTTGTCTGTTTTTCTGAGATGTATGAACGTTTTTGGATCAGCGCTGACCATGCTTTCAAGGCACTACCCAGCATGCTTTGCTCCCTGTGCTGTAAAAAATGTGTCCATCTTGCCCTCATCCCTCTGTCTTTTTTTCTGTCACTTTCTGCCTTTCATTTGTTGTCAATACGTTTTGTCTCTTTAAGACCATTGGCCATAACCTAAAATTTTCATTACATCATAATGCATATCTCATCCCTTTCATTTCAAAGATTTTCCCAGCATTTATTTTGTGGGTGTTTGGCTTTTTAATTTGCCTGCCCATTACATTAGCTTGGTCAATGGATTCATAGCATTAGTGATAATAAACTTATCTGTAGTATCAGATAACCACAGATGTCTTTATAGTTTTCAGAGTTCTGTGGTTCCTCTACAACTGAATGACTAAAATTATAATGATATTTAAAGCAGTAACATTTAGCCTTTTGTAACTGCAATAAGGGAAGTTGCCATGTTGTTAACGCCTCCCTTCTCGTCCCTTGAATCAAACTCTTTTCTCTCTCTCTTAATATTTAGTTTGAAACAGTTATGCTGTTGGTTTACATCCCAGTTCTAACATAAAAAAGAAAACTAAAATGCTTACACTACCAGAAAAAAGTTTGGACTTACTCGACTTAATTTTTTATATAAATGAATGTGCTTGAATGCTTGAAGCAAGTTTTGTAGACAAATATATTTTATGTGTCCATATAAATTCCTTACTACTACATTATTTAATAATTTTTTGTATCAGTTGCAAGTTGGACCCAGATAGTTTATGAAAAGTAGCCAAAAAGTGTCCAACATGGGTACTCCTTTAAAATCATCCCAGAAAGCACCTGATAAAGTTGGTTGAGAGAATGTCTAGAGCGAGCAGAGAAAGAAACTCAAATGTAATATAGTTTGTATTGTTTACTATTATATTTTTATTACATAATTCCCATACATCTACTTGTGTTATTTCATAGTTTAAGTTCATTTTTTTTATAATAAGTGGGTCCAAACTTTTGACTGGTATCTTATATAATATATAAAATGTCATTTTAAACATATGGAGCAAGTACTGGTGTCCATTGAACAATCATGTGCAATTGAAACAAATAAATAAAACTGTTGCAACTGAACGGTTGTACAGTTTCACACAAATATGTGATGTTTTTTAACTTAGTATTTTGTCTGAATCATTAATGCTGTTAACCTAAAATTGAATCATACTTCAGACATTTAAAAAAAATTACACATTTTGAATAGGCTACTGTCCCCGATTGACTCTGTCCTGTCGCACATAGTTGTTGTTTTTTCCTTCTGTCTCTCTCTCTCTCTCTCTCTCTGGAATCCATTTTGTTTTGGTTGTTGTCTCCCCATGCAGGGTCCAGAGGATCCAACTCACCACCCTCTTACAACTGGCTCTCAACACATCTCCTCGGTACTGCCTCGCTCTCTCTCTCTCTCTCTCTCTCTCTCTCTCTCTCTCTCTCTCTCTCTCGCTCCCACTGTTCTTTACTTTCCTCCCTATCACTCACTTTCTTTCTTTCTTCTTTGCTGACGTTCTCTCATGCTTTAAAAAAACCCTTGTTTGACCTCTTGCTGTTGTTTACGCTTAGCTGGGTGTCTAATTTTATATCGAAGCTCATTTCGCATCTTTCAGCTCTTGCTTTTGCTTATCTCTTTCTGCATCCATCCCATCTTCCTCAGTGTCCTTCAGTCATCAAACACATTTTGCTTCGCTTGTTTTGCCACACTTCTAGCAATGCTGGCTTGCTTACATTTCCTCTTTGGTGGTGGACTGGTTACCCCACTCTGGGCTGCATATTACTTCTAATCTAAGATCGCTATAATCTGTTGTCACTGCTGTTCTCTTAATGGCTGGATCATATAGTGTTCATTTTGCAACAAGTCAGAAATTAGTTGTTTTTGCTTAATGATGACACAGCAAAGCATTGTTTTTCGGACTAACAGGTTTTAGGAACAGCACATAGAGAAACACTGGGATTGATGTGTTTGACAGGCATCAGTCTAGGCAATGCTTATATATGTGTCCTTGCTACTGCATATTTGAGACATTTAGAAGTTAAGGCTGGGTGATATTTTGGATATTTATGATGTATCTGCAGTGATTTTACTGGTGATGTAAAACATGATCAATAATGCAGTTCCTTAGACTGTCATTAGATCAATTTTCCCAGGTATGAGAACATTAATAAAACTGTTTTAACAGCATCTCTTTAAAAAAAAATGGGTACAGTTGATTCATTTTAATTAATTCAAATCATTTTCTACAACGGGATTCAGAACTCAAGCATTTGTTTCAATAAATCAGTTCAAAAGATTTGTTTCGAGTTGTCGCCCAATTTTTCATGAAAGGCCCTGTGTGGCTTTTTTAGTTGTTCATTTTTTTAGTATAAATATATGTAGGTGAATATTGCCATTTATTATGTTAATGCTGTTTTGTTTAGGGAAAATCAGTATGGAAAACACATATATAGATTTTTACTTATTTTTTAGATTTTTGCATTGCACATTTTGAATATACTTAACAGCAGAGGCTATTTTAATATTTAACTGATTGAAGATTTATTGAATATAAATATATGCCTATTGCCTAGTTTTATTGCCCAGCCATTTTAGCAGTGGATCGTTTCATGAGAGCCTTTGCCATTCAGCAATGCCATTCAATATTAATTGTCTTTGAGTGAATAATTGCTTTTTTTCTCTTGATATCAGTCAAGTCTGGCACAGAACTAACTTCATGCATGTTTGCTCTTGCTTTAACAGTTTGCAGTGATGTCTCAATTTTTGCTAAATCAATGGTTTTCAATCAGTAGTAAAGTAGTAAAAAGTTAATATCCTGAACAGTCAGGGATCCCTCATGGAAAAGCTGTGTTTAGTGTAGTGGAAGTCACGTTCCATCCTAAACAAGCTTTTGTGGCTTTTAGTGATAAAGATAGGGAAAGGAAAACCCTCTCTCTCATATATCGTCACCTCTGTTCTTGTAGTTCACTTACAGTCTTTCACTTACGCCCATTAGCCGGAGCCTACAGAGGAAGACATAGAGAAGAACCCTGAGCTGAAAAAGCTACAGATCTATGGGGCTGGACCAAAAATGATGGGGCTCGGTCTTGTACCTCGAGACAAGACACGGAAGAAAGGTTTGTGTCTGTGGTTTTGATTTTAATTTGATTTTGTTCTTTATAAATGTGACAAATGTTTGAAGTGTCACATTATGCATTTTCACCAGATGAACTGCCACAGACGGTAATAGTGCGGGACAGCGCTGCCAGTGCTTCTGTGAAGGATGAACCTGGAGAGACACCGGTCACAAAATCAGATCCAGACATTCCCCCACCACCCCCAAATCTCATTGTCAAGGAGGATGTTGATGATGATGACAAAAATCACATTGATGATCCTAATGACTCCGGTGATGAACCCTGCACCAAGATGACCATGAGACTCCGACGCAACCTCAGTAACCCACAGTTTGTAAGTTTGAGAGAGACAGACATATGAGCTTAAAGGGTTAGTTCACATAAAAATGAAAATTCTGTCATTAATTACTCACCCTCATGTCGTTCTAAACCCGTAAGACCTCCGTTCATCTTCGGAACACAAATTAAGGATATTTTTGATGAATTCTGAGAGCTCTCTGACCCTCCCATAGACAGCAATGTAATTACCACGATCAAGGTCCAGAAACGTAGCAAGGAGATCGGTAAAATAATCCATGTGTCATCAGGGGTTCAAACGTAATTTTACAAAACAAAAATAACGACTTAATTCAACAATTCATCTCCTCCGCGTCACCCCGGTGCCATTTTGGAGAATATCCACTGAACGTAAACAGCTATGCTATTCTGTGTCAGCTGCATCACGCAAACAATACGTTGTTTAGAACGACATGAGGGTGAGTAATTAATGACAGAATTTTCATTTTTGGGTCAACTTTCCCTTTAAGAGTTTGCTTTTTTGTGCTTCTGAGACATTTAATTTACATGCAACCAAATAATCTGACTTGGATTAATGATGATCAGATTGGAAGGGGTGGTGTAGATCTGACATAATTCGATCAACAGGATAAATTAACCATGTAAACGCTTGAATGCCTAAATGTCATGATGCATATATTAGCATACAAATGTGCACGTTTATTTACATTTTATGAGCTGGTGAGTGGAAGAGACATTGAGTATTTACAAAATATTTGCTAAAATAGCTCTTCTGATATATGTCAGTTTTCTTTTTAGACATGTAATCAAGACAAAAACGACAATTATTCTCATGGTAGTGCTGGTAACATTATTGTGCTGATTCTGGACTTGCGACTGGGCATTTTGTTTGGAATAGATGTTATGCACATATAAACGAGTATGAACATTTCTCACATTGCAATGTTTTGGGTTCATTATAAACAAAACTTTCAGAAATCTAAACTCGAATTGGATTCATATGGATTGATTAAAATTAGTACATGTAATCAACAGTACATTTGATAATTTAGAGCATTTCCACTCTGTCTGACCCTGATGTTATTTTAAGTTAAACCAGCATTCTAACAATTTTGCCAGCTTTAGACCAAAGCATGTGAGATTTTGCATGCAATAACTGAAATCTCTGTCAGGTGGACTCGTTTGTATGTCGGATGTGTGGACGCGGGGACGAGGATGAGAAGTTGCTGCTCTGTGATGGGTGCGAAGATAATTATCACACATTCTGCCTGATACCTCCACTCTCAGATCCACCCAAGGGCAACTGGCGCTGTCCCAAATGTATAGCAGAGGTGAGAGACCAGTTCGAAATAACTCTCTTATTTATTCTATTGCTCTCACAATTATTCTATTGTGATATACAGGATATTTCATTAGTTAAATGACTTTTGGTCAAATATGTCTGTTTGTGGAGTTTAAGCTTTTAATTGACTTAAGTTATTTTTTGCTGCTTAATGAATGTGTAATATATAAAACTCTAATACTTTCTAAATGCTGACTTTTATTTCTTGATATAGCATTCAACTGTAAATGTGTGGTTTGTCTGTGTAGGAGTGTAAAAAGCCAACAGAGGTGTTTGGTTTCGAGCAGGCCACGCGGGAATATACATTACAGAGCTTTGGTGAGATGGCCGACACTTTTAAAGCCGACTACTTCAACATGCCTGTCCATGTGAGTGTTTTTCCTGCCTTTAATCAATCTTCAACCGCACAGACTTACTGTACACGTATTAATCATTCCACTGAATTTTTTTCTTAGATGGTTCCCACAGAGCTGGTCGAGAGAGAGTTTTGGAGGTTGGTTAGTAGTATTGAAGAAGACGTAACCGTAGAATATGGTGCAGACATTCACTCGAAAGAATTTGGTAGTGGTTTTCCCGTCAACAATGGCAAGAGACACTTGTCAGATGAGGAAGAGGTTAGTTTTCTTCTTTTTTTTTCATGTTTTTGGTCAAGAAGAGCAAATTAACATTTCTGTCCTGTTCCTGTTGCAGGAATATGCCCGCAGCGGCTGGAATTTAAACGTTATGCCAGTGTTGGAGCAGTCGGTATTGTGCCACATTAATGCCGATATCTCTGGCATGAAGGTGCCATGGCTGTATGTGGGCATGGTGTTCTCTGCTTTCTGTTGGCACATAGAGGACCACTGGAGCTACTCCATCAACTATTTACACTGGTAATGCATAGGGACTACCACATGCTTTTGTACTGTAAGAGCAGTCTCATGCATCTTGGACAACGATGAAAGACTTTGGTCTTGGTTTCTCTTTTTTTAGGGGTGAGCCCAAAACATGGTATGGTGTGCCATCATCTTCTGCAGAGAAGTTAGAGGAGGTGATGAAGAAACTCACACCTGAGCTCTTCGAGTTCCAGCCAGACCTGCTCCACCAGCTTGTCACCATCATGAACCCAAATATACTCATGTCTCATGGAGTGCCGGTTTGTAACACACACACACTATTATAAATAGCATACTTAAGGTAAACAGGTTGCATCATTAATCCACTACTATTTTAAGAATGTGTAATGAGGCTTGAAAAAAACACCCTATCAAATTCTATAAAAGCTCTTTTTGTTAAGTTAATTTGGCTTTTAAGGCTGCTTCCTGATGGCCTGTCAATATATAACAAAAAATGTATCTGTGCCCTGAAAATATTTAAGGTATTCTTACTGTTTTTTTTCTGAAGTTTGGTTATTTTATTGTTTCTCTAAATGTCTGAATATTGTTGTCATGTTTTGTGTGAATGGCCCTTCAAAACACTGATCTCAATTGGCTATAATTCTTGATTGACAGGTGGTTCGGACCAATCAGTGTGCTGGGGAGTTTGTCATCACTTTTCCACGAGCTTATCACAGCGGTTTCAATCAGGGATACAACTTTGCCGAAGCAGTCAACTTCTGCACTGCAGACTGGGTAAATAAATACAGCGTGCACACATACATGTGCCTTCATTTAAATCTATAGTATGCAAAGCAGTGTGGGTCAGAATAAACTGCATATTTGAGGAGCTACTTTTTAAATATAGTCATCCTGATATTAGTTACTGAGGCTTTTGCTCTTCCTGTTTCTGTGCTAGCTGCCCACAGGGCGCTCTTGTATTGAGCATTACCGGTGGCTGAGGCGCTACTGTGTGTTCTCTCACGAGGAACTCACCTGCAAGATGGCGGCCTGCCCAGAGAAGCTGGATCTGAACCTGGCAGCCGCCACACACAGGGAGATGTTCATCATCGTACAGGAGGAGAGGAAACTACGCAAAAGCCTTCTGGAAAGGGTGAGCAGAGAGGATATGTTTGCAGAATGAGGAAAAAAAAACATCTGGGATTGGGAGACTGACAATACTTGACTGACTATAAATATAAATAAAACAACAACAAACACTTCTAGAGCTAGTTTAATACAATGTATATGAGTGCTGCTACACAAGTGATCATGCTTTCTGTGCCCTGCAGCTAAGAAGTTATTTAGGTGTTAGTTGTTAGTTAGGTGTAGCTAAGTTTAATTGAAATTTGGATGCTTTTACTAATTGTAAAAATTGTTGTTTGAAAATTAAGTTGCTAGACTTCTTTGATAGCTGTGTTTTGCACCATGGTGTCATCTCTCAGGGAATAAAGGAAGCTGAAAGGGAAGCCTTTGAGTTACTGCCTGATGATGAAAGGCAATGTGACAAATGTAAGACCACCTGCTTCCTCTCGGCCCTGGCGTGTTCGAACTGCCAAGAGCGTCTTGTCTGCCTCTACCATTCCCAGGACCTCTGCTCTTGCCCCAGTGAAAAACTCTACCTCAGGTAAACCAGCACAGTGCTTGTTTGTGGGATCTTACTTATTACGTTCTTAGCTACAGATCAGGGATGTAACGATTCACTCAACTCACAATGCGATACGATTCAAGATACTGATTTCACAATACGATTTTCTCAACAAAAAAAAAATTTTTAACAATGAAATTTAAGATAAATTATAAATGAAAAGGTGTCCTTTATTATTTCTCAGATAAAATGCTTCACATTTCTTTGTGAAATTGAAATATGTCAAATAACAAAACTAAATTTAAAATGTAATCCCAAACAGGGATTAAACAGTAAATCCCAAAGCAAATAAATAATACAAATAAAATAAATCTATTCATATAAACAAAGGCTTTGCCTGTGCTCTTTCCATTTAAAATTAGATACAACCATCGTATTTTTATTACGATCCAAACAAAGATGCTGAATACATGCAGCATGAGAAGATTTGATTTAAATTAGATTGTATAATTTTGAAATTTGAAGCAAAAACCGAATGGGCTAACTTTAGCTTTGTGAAACTATAGCCTACTACATAAAACACCATTTAAAATTAGATACAACCATCGTATTTTTATTACGATCCAAACAAAGATGCTGAATACATGCAGCATGAGCAGATTTGATTTAAATTAGATTTTTGAAATTTGAAGCAAAAACCGAATGGGCTAACTTTAGCTTTGTGAAACTATAGCCTACTACATAAAACATCTGAACAAAATAAAAACAGCAGATGGGCTGCATGAGAATGCAAATTCACTCTCTGACAGCAGGTGGTGCTTATGGAACAGAGGCAATATAACTTTTCCTTGGTTACCACTGCAAACAAAGCAGCTGCGCTTATAAATATTTCTTTAATATGCATTATACAGAGGCAAGATGAAACGAAAATACCATCTAAATTTTTCTCAGTTTTTTTCAGTTCCCCTCAGTGATAAATTCATATAAACCCCCACCCCCTATTGTTTCGCGATGCATTTAACATTTCAACCGACTTGAATCTTCACATATTTTTATCGATTTTCAACCGACTCGGCATGCATCGTTAAATCCTTAATACAGATGTGTTCTGCCGGAAGTGTCTTATGTGCTTTTGGTCTCTCCTCTATGAAGGTATCGCTATACTCTGGATGAACTCTTGGCCATGTTGCATCGGCTGAAAGTTCGCGCTGAGTCTTTTGACTCGTGGGCCAACCGAGTGAAGGAAGCCCTAGAGCAGGAAGAAGGCAACAAAATAGGTATATGCGACTATCACAAACTTTGCATTTGTGAACAGTTCTTATTAGCCATTTTAATAGGTGTGGGGAAGTGCAAAATGGAATGCAATGACAAAAGTCCATACGAAATATAATCAGTAATCATGCAGTGTAACCATTCCTTAGGCCATTGGTTCTCAACCAGAGGGCCGGAACAACTGGAAAAGTCATGCAAATTCATTGGTTAAAAGAGCGGGAACCCTGAAGCGCATTCAGCTCTTAAAACTTCTGGAAGCTTGAAATTTAAGGAGTATCCATTTTTGTGAACAATGGGGGGAACTAGGGCTGTGCAAAAAATCGAATGCGATTTTCATGCGCATCTCGTCATTGCCGATTTTGAACGCGATTTTGTGTAGCTTGTCAGTGAACTACGGCTCTGTGTAGTAAATGCCGCTCCATCTGAACGGATGTGCTGGAGATTTACTACTAATCACCAGAAGTGGCTTTACTGACGAGATTTGCATGAAAATCGCATTTGATTTTTTGCCCAGCCCTAGGGGGAACTTGGTGTAAAAAAGCCTGATATCCACTTACCAAGCCTGAGACCAACTTTAAGAACAACATTAACAAGTTAACATCCACCAAAAGCCCAATTGCATGTTTTCTTCTGTCTTCAGACATTAAAGATCTGGAGGTTCTGAAAGGAGAGGCAGCTGACAAGAAGTTCCCCAATAATGAGCTGCTTCAGCGACTCAACACTGTCCTCGCGGACATACACAAGTGTGAAAGCAGTAGCACAGAGCTCCTCAGCAACAGCGAGAGCAGGAGAATGAGTCTGGAGGAGCTGAGGACTCTGGTGGACACCATGCAAAACCTGCCCTGTGTTATGAAACAGCTGGAGGAAGTGCAGGTAAGAAGGAGGGAAAATAGGCCAAAAATATGGGATATCAAATATTTGTCCAGTGGCTTGAAAGTTCAACCACGGTCCCTTCTTTTCCAGGCGGTATTGCAGAAGATAGAGGTGTTTGATGCACGCGCTCAAGCTCTGGTTGACAGCACAAAGGGCGAGTGGAAGCAGGACTCTCCTATACCCGCAGCAGCAGAGATCCAGGCCCTGCTGGAGGAGGGAGCGTCGCTGCCTGTTGTTGCCCCGGCATGTGAGCTCCTGAGCGGGCTGCAAGAGCAGGGTCGTTGGCTGGGAGAGGTCAGGCGGACGTTGGGGCCGGAGGGGAGCGAGGTGACTCTGGACGTGCTGAGGAACTTGATGGAGTCAGGTTGTAACGTACCACAGAGCGTATCGGTGGAGACTGCCATGGCTGAGCTGCAAGAGCTACTGACTATAGCTGAGCGTTGGGAGGAGAAGGCACAGATCTGTCTGGAGGACAGGTGAGCTGGTTCAAGTGAGGGGCGGAATATGTCAGCGCATCAATGCAGCCACGATTTTCAGCTCTCAATTGTTTCTTGCGAGCAGGCAGAAACACCATCTGTCGACGCTGGAGGCTATCGTGAACGAGGCTCAGCTAATACCAGTGCAGCTGCCTAACATCCTGTCCCTGCAGGCCTGCTTGAGCAGAGCTCGCGCTTGGGTTACTGATCTGGAGGAAATTCAGGTGAGAATAATTTAGACAGTTCTGATAAACTGGAATAGATGTTCCGTATCAACAAGTCAACAAGTATGATTCGGCCATTCAGGGTGGTTGCTTGGTGTGAATGTATCTTTACTGTTTCTGATTTCTCGCGGAGAAGAACGGTGAACACTACCCATGTCTTGATGACCTGGAGGGTTTGGTGGCCATTGGGCGGGACCTGCCTGTGAACATGGAGGAGCTGAAACAGCTGGAACTGCAGGTGGCCAGCGCTCACTCATGGAGAGAGAAGGCCAGCAAAACCTTCCTGAAGAAGAACAGCCAGCACAGTCTGCTGGAGGTGAAGAGACCATCTACACTTTTGACTCTGAAATGTTATTCAAGGTTTCTCACCAGAAATCATTATTTAGATTTACATGACCATGTTTTACCCCCACCTCTGTGTAGGTGTTGTGCCCATGTGTTGAGAAGAGCAAGAAGAGGGAGGAGAACTCACTGGGTACAGAAGAAGATTCTGATGTCAATGTATTAGGCCTCACTGCTCAGGACCTCCGAGACCCAGGAGCTATTGTGAGTTACTGTTTACTCATAACTGTTCTATTTCTCCTTTTTGAGTATTCATGCATTAGACTGCCAGTTTTGTCTAAATCAGTGTATGACACACTCTGTTCCAAAACCTAGTGAGCTGCCTACAGGGGCAGCCTTTTAAGGCATCATAAGTAGTAGGGTTGGGCCGATAGACAATGCCATCGTCCATCGCCGATGGCTGACAGACATCACGATGTTAAGCTGACATCGTGATTCCGTGACACCCCTAACCCCGTCCCCCGATGTCATCGTCCGTCACGATGTTTCACTGTAGACATCGTCCGATGCCAATTTGGTAGACCTCGCCCAACCCTAATAAGTATGCTCCAGATGCAGATGTTCTAAAAGGAAGCATTTAACTGCTTAGCTGCCTCCAAAGATGGAAAAAAAAACTGTAAGTTGATTCTCCTGTGCTCAGCACGTGCCAAATCAGTGACTTGTGAGATTCCATGACAGTTAAGGCCCAGGTATACTTCACTTTTTGTGGTCCACTCCATGTAGCACAAGCCATTCAAAGCCATTCAAAATGCTCATTCACCATCAGTATGGATGGGCACGTTTGGCATGTGCACACTACCTAGTGGATCTTTGTTTTCAAATGTTCAAATCACTTGCAAATGTGCTGTCGCCCACCTGGACACAAAATGCGGGCTGCATGTGGACTTTGTGCCCAGATATCAATATGCTGATGATGAAAATTTATTGGAAATTGGAAACCTGAGTGGAAACCAGCTTTAGGAAGCTGAGGCCGCTAACTATGTTTTGGAACACAGCCTAGAGAATTGTATTTTTTTTTCTCTCAACCTCATTCAAAGTTGATCAGGTTTTGCATATTTACGACTTTTATGTCATCAATATCAGGTGATGGCATTCAAAGAAGGGGAGCGTCAGGAGAAAGAGGCCCTCCTCCGCCTCCAGCAGGTGAATCTAACTAAACCCGGTGTGGAAAAAGGAGCAAGCGGTGATCAGAATGGCATCAAGACAGAAAGGACACAGAGTGACTCTATGGAGACAGACAACTCGGACAGCACCTTGCTGCAGAATGGTGGCTCCGCCTCTTCTCTCACCTCTAGCCAATCAGTGTGTGTGTGCAATGGCCCGCCCCGCCCCTTGCTTCACCTGTGCCATCTGTGCAAAGACTGGTTCCATGGAGGTTGTGTGCCCTTCCCAGCACTGCTGGGCTCCTTGGAAACAAATCTTACAAAGCCCCTCTGCTGGTGGGACTGGAACACACGTTTCCTCTGTCCACGGTGCCAACGGTCCCGGCGGCCACGGCTGGAAACCATTCTAGCGCTGCTGGTGGCGCTACAGAAGTTACCTGTTCGCCTGCCAGAGGGAGAGGCGTTACAGTGTCTTACAGAGAGAGCCATTAACTGGCAGGGTCGAGCCAAACAGGCACTAGACACTCCAGAAGTACAGAGAGCGCTAGAGAGACTCCAACAAGTGGAGGAGGAAATGAGCAGTATAAAAGAGGAAGAGCCAGAGGAGAAAAACAAATGGAATGGGAATACTGTAATTGTGTTGTCTGACTCGGAGGAAACAGAAGATGGTGTTATTGATCTGACAGAGGACATGAACTCGCCAAAAAAGAGTGAAGAGAAGGCTGCTAATGGTTCACAGGTGAGCGAGTGCAGTTGTAACATTTATGAAATCAAGCAGATGTAAAAATCTAGGCATCTTTTACATTTTAGGCATTTTATAAAAGCTGCTTTTTCTTCTTGTCCAGTCTGGCTGTCAGAATGGAGTTGCTAAGAAGTCAGGCATTCATGACATTACAGGTTAGTTGCTTCAGTCATTCACAGACCTCCCTGATATGAGTAATCGAGCTGTTTTTAATAATTTTTCACCTATTGGCTGTTGTCTCTTGTCAGGGGTGGAGTCTCTGTTGTCACTAGTGCCGTGTCTTAAAGGGCCGGTGATCGAGCTGACCACATCCACCAGAGCACAGCTGGAGGAGCTTCAGCTAGAAGGAGACCTGCTGGAGGTCATGCTTGACCAGACACACGGCATTTACCGGATCCTACAGGCGGCATCACAGCCGCCCCATGATGCCCTGCGCACACTCATACAGGTGAGGGAGGAGAGTCTGACCATCAGACTTATACTGTGAAAATCATTTTTGGTACTTCATAATTGATACATAAGTATGGTTTGGCATGTGCACATTATTTGAATACCATTTGACTAATCAAGATCAAATTACCAGACCTTTTCCTTACCATTTAATTTTCCTTTTCTTTTCTTTGTCCTTTCATTTCCTTGCCCTTTAGCATTTAATTTTCCTTTCATTATTTTATTGTCCTTTCATTTGATTTCTCCCTTTTTCTTTAACATTTAATTTTCCTTTCTTTGTTCTTTTCCTCTCTTATTTCATTCCATTTCCTCTTCATTTCATTTTTCTTTCCCTTATTTGTTGCTTGTTCGCATTATATGCTTTCCTTTTCCTGTCCTACTCCTTGAATTTCATTTTTTTTTATTTGCCTTATCTTTTCATTTCCCTTTCATTTTTTTATCCTATTCCCTGCATTTCCTGTTCTTTTTTTTCTTTCATCTCCTTTTCCCCTTTTCTTTCCTTTAATTTCCCTTCCTTATTCTTTTTCCCTTCCTTATTCTTGTCTGGCTGTCAGAATGGAGTTGCTAAGAAGTCAGGCATTCATGACATTACAGGTTAGTTGCTTCAGTCATTCACAGACCTCCCTGATATGAGTAATCGAGCTGTTTTTAATAATTTTTCACCTATTGGCTGTTGTCTCTTGTCAGGGGTGGAGTCTCTGTTGTCACTAGTGCCGTGTCTTAAAGGGCCGGTGATCGAGCTGACCACATCCACCAGAGCACAGCTGGAGGAGCTTCAGCTAGAAGGAGACCTGCTGGAGGTCATGCTTGACCAGACACACGGCATTTACCGGATCCTACAGGCGGCATCACAGCCGCCCCATGATGCCCTGCGCACACTCATACAGGTGAGGGAGGAGAGTCTGACCATCAGACTTATACTGTGAAAATCATTTTTGGTACTTCATAATTGATACATAAGTATGGTTTGGCATGTGCACATTATTTGAATACCATTTGACTAATCAAGATCAAATTACCAGACCTTTTCCTTACCATTTAATTTTCCTTTTCTTTTCTTTGTCCTTTCATTTCCTTGCCCTTTAGCATTTAATTTTCCTTTCATTATTTTATTGTCCTTTCATTTGATTTCTCCCTTTTTCTTTAACATTTAATTTTCCTTTCTTTGTTCTTTTCCTCTCTTATTTCATTCCATTTCCTCTTCATTTCATTTTTCTTTCCCTTATTTGTTGCTTGTTCGCATTATATGCTTTCCTTTTCCTGTCCTACTCCTTGAATTTCATTTTTTTTTATTTGCCTTATCTTTTCATTTCCCTTTCATTTTTTTATCCTATTCCCTGCATTTCCTGTTCTTTTTTTTCTTTCATCTCCTTTTCCCCTTTTCTTTCCTTTTAATTTCCCTTCCTTATTCTTTTTTTTTTTGTCCTCTCCTGACCTGAACTGTTATGACATCAGACCTTGTCCATTAGTGTTATGGCTTTTTCTCACATAGTATCAATACACTACTTTTCTGGCTATCAAACTGCTGAAGCTGGTTAATTGGGGTTGATTTGTATTTGTGACCCTAAAAATGACCCTTATGACTGGTTTTGTGGTCCAGGGTCACATTTAGCACATTAATCCTGTTAAAAGCAAATGCATTTTCCTGTTCATAGGTCATGTGACATGTCCATGTTGACAAATATATTAATTCCAGGTATCTTTCTATATATAAGCAACACTATTTAGCCACAGAGTGGGATTCATTTGAAAGAGTGTTAAAGCTGGTCTAGACACTATTTTTTGCTTGTCTTAATTCAGAAATGTTTCTTATTTTGCTGCCCTTTTGGACCCCTCATAATCCGGCTTGGCTCATTTGGTGTGTTTCAGATTGAGCTGCAGGAGCAGAGAAGCTCAGGTCGTGGCAGCAAGTCAAAGGACTCCAGGAGGAAGAGAAAGAGCCAGAAAACCGAAAGCGAGGCTAAATCCACAGAGGCTACTGAATGCAAGAAGACTAAATCTACAGATCCACACACAGGTACACACTGGTCTCAAGCACACATTTTATTTGTAACCATCAAATGCCTATGATCAGAAACAAACGCACTTGTTCTTCTCTTGCAGATCTTTTGATGATTTCCTGAAGCTGTGGAGGTGCAGATGATGTGAATGACAGGAGAAACACAGAGACAGAAAAATGCAGGCCTCAGGCTCGTTTCCCCACATAATAAGCTCACATTAACATTTTTTTTTTCAACCCATCAAGTGGACTTTTTTCCTGTTATTCTTCCCACTTGCCTCTGTTCTCACCCCGCATCCTGAACAGTGCACTGGTGCAGGCTGCAGATCTCTGTTTTCTTAGAAGAGGGATAAAATGGGATTTGTCCTGTGGTTAAGCTGTCTGTCTTTACAATATAGATGTACTAAACTGTTCTTAACACAAATGTCGTGTGCTGCATAATACGACATGTCCAGGTATTCACACACAGACACACTCGATGACAGGCAGAAGGGGCGTTTAGCGGCGTTGCTACAATGACACTCGTATTCTTTTTGTACCGAGTCTCACATTTTGTCAGGGAGATTCAACATTGTGAATAAACTAGTATAATATTTTGAAAGTGTGATGGAAAATCAAAGGCATTTACGTTCTGGTGCTACTTTCCTAAGATAGGTTACTGCATAGTCCTTTCTCTCTTTTCCACTTCCTCTGAGTTTTGCTGTCTTCATTGTCATTTCCTTTCAGTGATTCTGTTGTCTCTTTTTAGCTACCTGCTCTCTACCCTTCTTCCTCTCCACAGAACTGTACAAAATCTCACTTTAACTCTCTTTATCTCCATCTTTTGTCGCTGGGGTTCTAATAATTCTATTATTATTATTATATTATTATTGGTATTGCTATTGCAGACACGCTTTGTCGTGAGTTTGTGTATAAACATTTTCATTTCAATGTTGCCTTTGTTTCTTTTCACTCTTGTTAGAAAATAAAAGTTTAGACTTGTTTTAGGAATCTGTTTCATTACTTTATTTAGCCAGTTATTATAAACTCAAAGTGTTTATTTTTTAAGCAGGGTGTTTTGGCGTGTCAGAAGTCAATCAAAAGAAACGGCTAAAGGAAAAAGTGTCATAGTAAAGTAAGTCAATATCAAAGCGATAACTTCAGTAGACGTCAATTTATTCAGCACATTTGGAATGTCTTTACATGTGTTTTATACACTAATGTATGCAGAATTCTTTTTAAGAAGAAATGTAATAGATGGACCAAAAGAGGCTCATAAGAGCAGCACAGTTATCATCAGAGGAGTGGTTTAAAGTTCAAGAACATTTTTATATAAACATTTTTTAAAACATAGCTGAATAACCTTTTTATATATAAAAAAAAAAAATACCTTTCCAAGACAAATCCGCTAGCGAACATAGTACTGGTCATGGCTAGAAATATTTCAATCTAAACAAAAAAAATCTATATAGTCTCTTTTTCATTTAAACGTTAGACAACTGGCTGTTACAGGAACATCTGTCACATCTTGGTCATGGAGTGCAAAATGTCTGCAAGTTCAAGAATCCTGCCTTTCAAGAAGACCATCCAGAAGCTTCTCACACATGTAAAGACACCGAGGAACATGGAAGAACCCTGGACAAACAGAGTAAATGTGTCTGATTCAAAACTGATCAAGTACATCAACTTTCAAAGTGTACACTACAGTTTAAAACTAAGCAACACAAATGTCGTGTGCTGCATAATACGACATGTCCAGGTATTCACACACAGACACACTTGCTGACAGGCAGAAGGGGCGTTAAGCAGGAGACTGGCATCGCTGCCATAATGAAACCCGTATTCTTTTTTACCGAGTCTGACATTTTCAGTTTCCACAAAAATATTAAGCAGCTCCTGTTTTCAACATCGGTAATGACAAGCAGCAAATCAGCATATTAGAATTATTTCTAAAGGCTCATGTGACACTAAAGACTGGAATAAGGACAGCTGGAAATTCAGCTTTGCATCACATGACTAAATTACATTTTCAAATGTATTCTAAGAAAACAGTTGCTTCAAAATGTAATCACATTCACAAAAGTATCTAAAACTTTTGAATGGTAGCGTAGCTAATTAGGTCTAAAGGATGCTCTGCTGCTCAAAAAAAAGGTATATTAATTTTGTATATGAAAAATCACAACAAAAATCTACAGAGGGTGAGCGTGAATCACGTTTGACAGTGTTGAAATAATTTTCTTCATAGCTACTCACCTTTGAAGGGTCCTCCTTTGAAATCCAGCACAACCTCTCCTTTACAACTCAGATATCCAAACCACTCGCCATGTTCCTCATCAGAAAACTTGAGCAAAAAATTAAGAACATGAAGGATCTGCACTTACTGTGATTATACTGAAAGAGCCTTACTCCAAATGAAATCTCTTACATGGCTGAAGGTGTAGTCATAGATCTGCTTGAAGCGGTCCAGTAGCAGAGGCGCTCTGCTGTGACTGTAGGCCATCAGGTAGGCGATCAGAGCTTCACAGTGAGGCCACCACAACTTCATATTCCACTCTAACTGCACACACACACACACACACACACAACAAAAGACATACATTAAAACATGACACAAACCCTGCTCTCGCCTTTGTCAAATTTGACACTGAATCATAGATATAATCTGACCTGAGTCGGACAATGACCATCTACATCCAGGAAGTAGAAAAGGCCGCCATGCTGTTTGTCCCATCCGGTGTGGAACGGGATCTCCATGAACTTATCCACTGCTGTCTTCTGCAGCTGCGCGTCTTCTTTTTTCAGTGCGTACTGCAGCAGGAACCAGCCAGCCTCCAGAGCATGACCTAGAGAGAGACGCCACTGATAGTAACGGATGCTGAACTTTTGAGGAAAGTGGCAGTGAGGTTGGATTTACTGCAAGATTCTTTATCAGATGGAGATAAACAAGCTAACAAACTAATCTGAGAATTCATGAGGAGGCTTTATTCATATTTATTTATCCTGTTATATTCTGAAATGATCATTTACCAGGGTTCTGCAAACGCCCTTGACAGCCAGGAAGTTCCTTTCCATTCAACGTGACATTTTCCAAAATAGCTTTTCCATCTCTCTGAGATGAAAGAATTTAGTATAATGTATCATTTGGTATTTCCTTCATCTCAGATTTTTTTAATTTGATGAATTATAGGCACATTGTGAGCTTAGTATCACATCACTGAAGCTTGTTTACTCTGTTGGCTCACCTGTATATGCTGTAGTATCTGCTCCACACACCATCCGCTCAGGTCTTTGTACTTTTCTGCAACATCAGTTCTACCCTCTGTCAGCTGATCTACCAGGCACAGGAGCATCATGGGAACTGCCATGCTGTTGATTGGCGGATCACCAGGAAGTTGAGGACGACTGAGATCTGATGAATCCGTCTGTACCCAGAATATCAACCGATCCATCATGCTCTCAGCATCTGCCTGTGGAGAACACGGACAAAACATCTGACACCTGACCATGAAATATATACGATCAACTAATTCTGACATTTACATCAAAGGTGAGAAAACAGATTAAAAACATGCTGAAAAGTTACTGAAAGGGTTCACTTTTTAAAACAAATCTATAAAGCACATCAGTCATACTCAGTTCAATACATTATGTCATTATTATTTAACCCAGTTTAAGTTCTAGGTGAGATACTGACTAATAGTTTTACCTGCATCTCTTTGTCTTGTGTAATCCTGGACAGCTCATCCATGGCCATCACATAAAAACACTCGCTGAATATCGTCCTTTGAACCTTCACTGTTCGCCCATCTCTCGTCAGGCAGAAGGCACATTTCCCCGGGCCGCTGGAGGCCTGAACTCGAGCAAACTTTTGCAGAAATGCAGCACCTGGAAGTCAAGACTGTCTGATGTAACAGGATCACAGCAAATCTGTGCGATTACCAAATTCAAATCAAAGTTGCAAGATTAAATTTTGGCACATAATTAAAAAAAAATAAAATAAGTGTGGGAGCCCATTTTATGTTGTGACATTTTTCTGAAGCTTTAGTTTTAATACATTATAAAATAGTTACGTACATGTACAAGTTTACATGTTAACTTTTGAACAGGGTCAATTGGGTTAATTCAGTTATTTAGTCTTGTGAACTACTGTATATGTCAACATCTGTTTCGTGCGATAGCTTTTTCAGGGCAGTACTAAATTAAAAAAAAACATGCAATTTTTATGATCACTATTTTTTTTGTTTTAGTTTTTTTTTTCATTATTTTTTTATTTTGTAATTTCTGCAGATGCAGTTTCTAAATATAATCTGTCTCTATTTCTGACCAAATCAATGTAGCCTTGGTGAGCATAGAGGTCTGGATGTACAGTAAAAACAATAATATTGTGAGTGACATATTACAATTTAAAATAACTGCTTTCTATTTTTAAATATAATTTATTCCTGTGATGGCAAAGCTGAATTTTCAGCATCATTACTCAAATGGATGGATGGATGAAAAACGCAACTAAGAAACTGAATCCCAAACCTGATTTAGCAGCATCAAGAATCTCAGGTCTGTGAAATCTTTCCATTGTACGATACAGCCTGCTGTACATCCAGACCTAGTGGATATGTTAGACATCAGACACTCAATTTAACAGTTTTTATTGGGACAAAAAAAAAAAAGCACTTATGATTACAGTTTTTCTCAGTCGCTTTGGTGCATTTCT